TACTTCAAAGCTACGGGGATCCACACTGCATGGTACAGGCATGAAGACTGCGTGTGGGCCGTGGGCAGAGCAGACACAAGCTCCCGGGAGAGCGCAGGCCAGGGTCCCGCCCGCCGCGGCGCTCGACTTGGAGTGTCTGCCCTCATTTCAGCAGCTGGAGTGCGGCCGCGGTGCACCCTGGGAAGTCTGAGACTTGAGCTTACACACAGGTGACTGAAGATATCAGAGCGCAAACCACACACACACCCGACGAAAACAGGACAGTCTTCAGGACAGGCGCCGTGGCAGCGATTTCTGGCATCTGGTGCCAGAGGCGCACGCAGCTGAAGGAGAGAGATCTGTAGGGGGTTCCAGAAGCACAATCTCCTCCAAGCTCTCATGCGTCGAGAGAAGGAAAGTGCACCTCACAGAATGGGAGGGAGAGAATGCAGGAGGTGGACACCCCAGATACGGAAAGGAATCCACAGCTGGGCGGCAGCAAAACCCACCCAATTCTGGAAGGGACAGGAGTCTTGGCGTGACGTTTCTCCAGAGCAGACAGTTGTCAGTAAGTGCACGAAAACCTGCGTGTCACTAGCCTCTAGGGGCATGCCAGCCCCCTGGGTGCCACACGCTGTATCCTGACTCCACCCTTCCCCTTCAGTGCTGTGGATGTGATGTAGAGATGACCGGATTGTCGGCATGGTGCTCACACGTGGTCTCATGTGGCGCTCACCTGTGCTCCCAGTGTTGTGCTTCCCGGCCGTGGCCCTCACACCTTGTCAGCCACGGTGCCTGCAGACACCTGACTGAGGTGTGCACAGGGGTTGCCCACGGCAGTGCTGCCATGGCTGTGCGCCTGTTGTTGCTCTCACACATACCCGGCTGTGCTCTGCTGAGCCGCACGCTTGAGCTGTGGGTGGGACTTGTGACCTTGCACCCGGCGGACCGGCTGAGCCGCTCACCAGCCCTGTGCTCAGGTTATGTCACTAGGATGTGGGCACACGGGGCCACACACAGTGACACAGGAACACAGCCCAGCCCACAGGGGGCTAGGGCCAGCATCTCAGGGGACTGCACGACACCTTTGGAAAAGAAACGACGGCCGCCCCCTCATGATTCTCGCTTCACTACCCTTGACCCAGGACGGGGCGGCTGACCCTCCCTGGGCTGCTGCTGTTTCTCAGAGAACCTCAGAACTCAGACGGTCCAGGAGAAGCCCTGGGCTGGTGCAGTATTGCCCCTAAGCAGGGCAGGTGCTCCTTGGACATAACCATCCCGACGCAGGGAACCACCCACCGGTTTTGGGGGGCCATACCCAGCTGTGCTCAGGGGTCACTCCTGGTGGAGCTTGGGGCACCGTACGTAGTGCTGGGGATTGAAGTCTGGTGCAAGGCAAATGCCCTCCCACTGTACTCTCTTGGGCCCCAGCTAGCTTTTTGGGTGCATTTATTGGTCACTAAAATAACTTGGAGCAATTTATGTAAAGCATTCTACGTAAGTTTAAACAGTTAACGCCTTAATTTCGGTGTCGTGTGAGTAGTCGCACTCTGAAGAATGTTTGCCCCATGTTTTCCTGTAGCTCGTGAGTTCCTAACGCCCAGTTGTTTGAGAGTCATCGTCATGGTTTTAGAAATTAGAGAATGTTTTGCTTTAATGTTCGAATAAGAGCAGGGTCACAGAAAGTCGAAAGACAATTTGTAATGGCCTAGATTGCCATGCTGAGTGGAAAGAAATATTTAGAAGGAAAACTTTTCACAGTGAGGCTTGGCTCAGTGGATTTATGGAAGTTTAGTCACGAGAACACAGAGTTCTGGACGTGCACGAGCACTTGGACTGTGGGCACTCACCGAGAAAGGAAACTGACTGTCGGGCTGCTCCGTCCAGTGTCCTGGGGTAGAGATGGCCTCTAGGGCAGCAGCAGCCATGGGCACGCGGAGCCGCAATGCTGTCCAGGCTTGTTCTGCACCACGGCTGCTGCCGCCTCTTCTCTGGCTTCCTCTGGGGCTGGCTCCCCACCACCACCCCCAGGGGAGGGCTGCGTGCTTGCTGTTGCCTGGGCAGTGAGCCTAGCGTGAGCACCAGTGTGCATGGGAGTGTGTGTTCGTGTGATGCGTGTGTGTGTGCATGCGGTAGTGTCCATGAGTGCACCGGAGTGTGGGAGTGCATGAGTATGTGTGTGTGTACCTGTGTGTGTGCGCGGGAGTGTGCCTGTGTGTGGGAGTGGTTGTGCATGTGAGTGTGAGTGCGCGGGTATGTGAGTTCGAGTGCATGTGGGAGTGCGTGAGTGTGAGAGAGTGCACGTGTGCTGAGTGTGCTTGTGAGTTCTCACGAGTGTGGCTGTCAGTGCGTGAGTGCGCCTGAGGGGAGACTGCATGTGAGGGCGTGAGTGTGAGTGCAGGTGTGCTTGAGTGTGGAGTGAGTGCATGAATGGATGCATGTGAGAGTGTGTGAGTGCCCACGAGTTTGTGAGCGTGTGTCAGTGCAAGCGTGTGCATGTGAATGTGCGGGTGAGTGTGGGTGTGAGTGTGGCCTGTTTCTGCTGTGCCCTGTGAGGGGCGGCTCCGCCAGGCTTGGTCCACCTTGTGTCCAGGTTCTCATTGCCCCGAGGCAGCTGGAAGGGGGCGCTGGGCAGTGCCCGAGTGAAGGCAGACTTGTTCCCAGGATTTGGGGGTCTGTGTTCTGAGGTTGGTATTGTTGGGGGCAGTTGAGGCTGCCTCTGAGGGCACTGGAAGGACGGTGGCCCTTGCTCGGCCATGGTCAGTCTCCAGTGGCCATCTCTGCTTGTGCCCTTCAGACAGCGCTAAGCGAGGGGACTGTCAGCGTGAAGAACCTGGTGGCCGTGAGGGCCGGTGAGGGCTGTCATGTGTGGGGGAGTGAGGTGTCCCTGGGTGGTGGAGCTTCGTGTTCTGGCCAGGGTGCTGAGGAGCCCTGCGTGGGAGGAGGACGGCCTGGGTGCGCCGCGGGTGTGTCGGCTTCCTGGCTGGACCCAGTGCTCACTTCCCCACAGTGCACCAGTCGGGGAAACCAGGCGAGAGGTTACTGGGTGTGTATCTGGTGGCGGGGCTCGGGGGTCATGCAGTGCGGGGACTGAATCTGGACCTCCCTCCCGCAGAGCCTGTCACCTCCCAGCCGGCTCCCTGGACAGTAACGGTCACTAGTTGTAGGGCCTGCGTGTCTGCCCTGTATGTTGGGGCGAGAAGCTTGGTAGGACTGGACCAGAGCTGCACGTGCCCTAGAGCCGCCTGAACCCTGGACCGCTGGGGAGGGGCGGCAGATGGAGCTGCACGGGTGCTCTCCTGGCGGTCTCGGGCCCAGGAAATGCAACCCAGAAGGTGCAGTGTCTGTGGCTGTGTTCTGGGAACTCTCCGGGGCCCTGCCCGGTGCCATGACCCAGAGATGAGTGAGTTGGAGCCTGGTCTGCACATGTCTGCCCTTCAGTGCCGGGTGTAGACGTGTCCTGTTTGCTCCTGTGCCGGCACCAGTGTGGCCCGTAGGAGGAGCCGAGTAAGATTCAGGGGACAGCCAGGTCCTCCCAAAAGACATGGGGTCTGGTGGCGGCCCAGATGTGTGACCGAGACTGGACCCAGAGGCTGGCCTTCTCCCAGCTCCAAGTGTGCTGGCCATGCGGGGACTCGGAGTGGCACAGCTGAGGCTCAGGACTGGCTTCTGGACCCTGTTTCCTGCAGGGTCTGTGAGACTCTCCACCCGGACGTCCGGTCAGACCCAGGCACAGCTTCTGCTCACCCGTGTTAGCTGCCCAGCTTAGCGCCTCCGTGTCTGGGCACTGAGCTTCCGAGAGGGGCTGGTGTCGGACTCGCCAGCTCTGGCTGGCTGGACCGTGCGTGGCCTGCGTGGCCCTGAGAGGCAGGCCAGTGGCTGGCGTCGAGGTGGACGGACCGAAGGATGGACTAGACTGAGGTGCCATCAGGGAGCGGCTGGCCAGGGTGGCAGCTGTGAGCACTGTCTGAGGGGTCGCTCCGTTCCAGGGCAGCACTGCGGGGCTCAGCGGTGAGGTCCACACTGCAGACTCGGTGTCCCCCTTGCCCGGGGCTCGCACTGCCGCTTTATCCCTCCACTCGGCGCTCACCCTGCTGGCATCTGACTCCGCCGCAAAGCTGCCCGTGGTCTGGGTTTCTGTCATGTGTCTGCTCAGGGGACAGAGGGGACTCGGCCCTGGCCGTGTGGGAAGGCCCCGGCAGCTGCTGGTGGGTGGCAGAGAGGGGCCAGTGCCACGGCAGGCCACGGTCTGCTTCTGGAGTCACGGAGCATCTCCTGCGCACAGCAGCCTCCATCGGGAAGGAGCCGGGTGGACTCTGCCCTCGGTACGGCTCCGTCGCCCTCCTTAAGAGGCCCGTCAGGGCTGCACACAGCAGAGGGCAGCACATGCATGTGCACACGCGTGTGTGCATATGTGCATGTGTGTGCCTGAGCTGCCGAGGTGGCGTCAGGTGTGGAGCCCTGTGCAGCCTCACCCTCCCGGGCCGTCTTGCGCCGGAGCACTGCACTGTGGCGGCGGGTCAGGCGAGTGTGTCAGAGTCCCGGGGTCAGCCAGCGGAGAGGGACCTCTGGGGGTGGGGCCCTGCCCGTTTGGCTTCTGACGCCTGGCCCCACGGGGGCGCCCTGCGTCCTCGGCCACAGACCTTGGTGCGGGTGGCCGTCGGACCCTGCCGCTGTGTGGGGTGGCGTGGCACACGGAAACAGCCTGCTGCTCTTCTTGCTGTTTCAGCCGAGTTGGGGACATACCTGTCCCTGGCCGGAGAGGGGCCAGCGGGGGCAGGGCCACGCAGCTCAGGACATGTGCCTGGGGCCTCACAGGGGACTGTGGGGAGCCACAGGGACAGCTGCGCTCTCCACACACAGGAACTGGGGGACGGTGACCCTCGGGATGCAGCCTCTTGCTTCCTCCGGGGCGGCTGGAGGGGGCGGGCAGGCCCAGCCGGGGTGCCACAGCCCTCCCCCGCGGCCTCTGAGCTGTGTCGAGCTCCACCGGGGCCAACGCCGCTCTCCTCTGTCCTCAGGCTGCCTCGTCGGGGCTGTGAATCTCAAGTCCAGCAACCGGAACCCGGTGGTGCAGGAATTTGAAAGTAAGTCCAGGGGAGACGGGTGGACACTGGGACAGATGGACGAGTGGGCCCCGTGGTTCCTGCACTGCCCAGACCTGGCGTGCTGCAGTGGCCATGGGCGTGTGGTCCACTGTGAAGCGGCCCATGCCACAGACTGAAGCTCAGGTGCCTAGTGGGTGCCTCCCGCATGTCCTGTTGGCCTCTGCACCGGGTCCCCCGGCCTCTCGCGCTGGGGTGCAGCGGGCGCGCCTGGCCGAAGGGCATCGCTGGTGGCCCTTCCGTGCTCCTGGCTGGGCAGCAGCAGGTCGGGGGTGGCCGAGCCCCGTTGGGAGACTGGGTGTGGCGGCACCAGAGGCCCCTGGCGGGCCTGGGTGCGAGAGTGAGCGCTGTCCCCAGCTGCCCCCAGCTCGCCGCGCCTCTTCCCTCTCTGCTAGGTGTGGACCTGTCCTGCATCATCACGGACTCACAGACAACCGACCCCAGGATTGAGTGGAAGAAAATTCAAGACGACCAAACCACATACGTGTTTTTTGACAACAAAATTCAGGGTACGCCTGGGGGGGTCCTCTGTGTCCAGGGGCCAGAGCCCACTGCCGGGATTGCCCCAGGTGGGGCGGGGGCGCTGAGAGGCTGCGGCCCGCCCCGCACTGTCTCCCGCCTCAGCACCCAGAGCCCCAGGACTTGGGGCCTCCCCCGGCTGCTTGCTGTGGGCTGAGGGCCACACGCTCTTGGACCCAGGGCAGGGTGGCCTCGGCCACTGACCTCTGCCACGGAGCAGCGAGGGCCAGCGCGGTCTCACCAAGCCCTGCCCTGTGCCAGGTACAGCCACGAGAGACCCACCTGGACTGGTCAGCAGGGCCGGGGGCCCAGGCTGGTCCTCTGGGCTGGGCAGTGAGAGGCCATTCCAGGATCCCTGGAGTGACCGCATGGCCCCCACCAAGCGTAGGCTCACACGGGAGGTGGCCCCACCCCCAGGGACTGGCCTGCGGGCAGCTGCGCCCAGGCACGGCCCGGCTTTGGAGGGGCCTGACCGCGTGGCGACTGGGTCTGAGATGGGGAAGGCTCGGGGCGCTCTCGTGTGGTCAGGGGGAAGATGGATGCTGCTGGCCGTGGCCTTCAGTCCATGGGCCGTTTCCCCTTTCGGGGTCGCTCGTGGTGGTGTGGGCCGTGGTGTGGGCTGGCGCTCTGGTTGCCCTGGGCGCTGCCCACAGCCAGGCTCCAAGCAGTGGCCAGTGGGGTCCGGCTCCAGCGGCTTCATCCCTCCTGCTTCTCCCCAGGAGAATCGCGCAGGAAGAACAGCTGTCGCCAGAGCAGGGGAGGGCGGGGGTGGGGGCGGAGGACGGCTGCCTTGTAGAGCACAGCGGCTGAGGGGATGTGAGAGTCCAGGACGCGTGACGGGCGCCCCCTGGCGGAGAAGGACGGGGCTGCCTGTCTGGGCCCCACAGTGGGGAGGTCTGCCGGGAGCCGAGGGTCTCTGCCGCAGAAATGGTTTCGATTTCCTGTCACTCCTCGCCCCTCGTATGTGAAGGGCGGGGAATGTTCTCAGAAAACAGCCCAGTGCTCGTCCTGCAGGACTTTCTGGGGCTCAGGAAGCACATTCAGCACCCAGGGCTGAGACCAGGGCTGCCCCCTGCGTCCACCCGCCTCCTTGCCCGCAGTGGCGCAGGCTGGCACCAGGCTTGGGGGTCTGTGTGTGGATCGCTCCCAGTTTGGGAGATATCCCTGACACCAGCACACCCCACCCCCACCCCCCGTCCAGATGTTCATTGTCCTCCCCAGAGCAGGGGCTCTGGCTCTGGGGGGGGCAAGGCCGTCCCTGCCCGCTACTGACCCACACTGGTTTCTGGTTTTGCCACTTTTGTTGTTTCGAGCCTTTTCTCTTGTTATTTTCTGGGCTTCCCTTGCCTCCAAAAGGATTTTTCATGTCTTGTTACACTTTGAAGCCTTTGTGTGTGTACACACACACACACACACACACACACACACACACACACACACACACTTTGGCTTTGGGTCACCTCTGCCTCTGCACAGAGATCCCGGGTCAGCAGCACACAAGGCCAGTGCTGTCTCTCCAGCCTCCTCTCCAGACCTTAAAAGGGACGATTCGCCTAGATGACACTTGTCCCTGCTGCCCGAGGGTTTCTGGCACCCACGCTCCCAGGAGGAGGCTGGGCCCGGGCAGTGTCCCTGCACCCCTTCCTGCTCTCTGCACCACCTCTCTGGCGGGTGGCTGGATCATGGGCACGGACGGCGCCGTGGTCACTGCGTTCCCCTCCCTGGGTGGGCGGGCTCTCCTGGGACACGCTGCTCTGTCCCCGTGGCTTAGTGACTCTGACCTGCACCTAGCGTGCTCGGGGCTGCTCCTGCTCTGTGCTGGGCTCAGCCTCCCGCGCACAAAGGGGTGCCCAGCTGCGCTCGGGCCAGGCACGCTGCTGCTTGGAAACACGGGTGGGTGCACGTTGGGGTCATGAGCGTTTACACTGAGTCGGTGCAGCTGTAGACGTGGCTAGGACGTGGCTTTGGCTGACACGGGACAGTGTGCAGGTGGGAGGGTGTTTATTGAGAGGCTTGATGTGATTGGGCCCTGTGTCACAGCATGCTCACTGGCCCGTGCTCCCAGCACGTGGGATTCTGTCCTGGCTGTCGGCCCCTTCCTGGGGGCTGATGACATGCTTCTCCCCACGTGCCCAGGGCCACTGTCCCTCCTCCAGGGGCTTCCACTCCCAGTGGGGAAGCTGCTGAGCGGCAGGTCCTGATCCCTTGGCTGTGCGGACCCCCTTGCCTTGCCTGCCCTGCCCTGCTCACCATGGCCCCCGTCCTGCCCCGCCCTGGGGCCCGCTCAGCCCTCACACTTAGTAATGCGTGCGGTGTGGGTGAGCAGAGAGTGTGTGTTTATGTGTGGGGGGATGGTCGGGGAGGGAACCCTTGCTGGCGGGCCTTGCCCTTGGTGTCCATCTGCGCACTAACCTTTCGTCAGAGAAGTAATGCAAAAATGTGTCCTCCATCCAGCGGACTCTTTCCTTTTAAGCGTGTCTTTACTTCTTGATGAAAGTGTTTGTGTGTGTGTGTGTGTGTGTGTGTGTGTGTGATGCAAATAGTTTTTGTTGAAAGAGATGTGAGGGGGAGGACTGCTGAGAGGGCATGGAGCAGGGAGCCCCGTCGAGCTGTCGCTGCGCTCTTGTGTGTGGCACGGGCTGCAGGCAGGCCACCCTGGGCTCTGGGGGTGTCTGGTGTCCCCCGCGTGTGCCCGCAGAGTGTGGGAGCCCCGGGCCTGTGTCTCTGTGCAGGAGATCTGGCGGGGCGTGCGGAGCTGCTGGGGAGAACCTCGCTCCGGATCTGGAATGTGACGCGCAAGGACTCGGCCTTGTACCGCTGCGAGGTGGTGGCGCGCAACGACCGCAAGGAGATAGATGAGATGGTCATCGAGCTCCTGGTGCAAGGTGGGGGTGGGGCCGCCGCCTGGGAACTGGGGGCGGGGCTGGGCTGCGCGGGCCAACGCCCTGTCTCTCCCCTGCAGTGAAGCCGGTCACCCCTGTGTGCCGAGTCCCCAAGGCCGTGCCCGTGGGCAAGGCAGCCACGCTGCACTGCCAGGAGGGCGAGGGCTACCCCCGGCCCCACTACAGCTGGTATCGCAACAACCTGCCCCTGCCCACCGACTCCCGGGCCAACCCCCGCTTCCGCAACTCCTCCTTCCTCCTGAACCCCGAGACCGGCACGCTGGTGAGTTGTGTCTGCTGGAAAGACCCCATGTCCTCCGGGTGACAGAAACTGTGGATCTGCATCCCGGGCCGGATGTTGGGGTCAGGGGACAGGCCCTGGCCTGCAGGCGGGGCAGGAGGCTGGGGTGTGGACTGCAGCATGGGCGGTGCAGAGACTCAGCCCTGGTGGGTGCAGCCTGAGGAACACCAGCAGGCCGCCTTGAGAGGGGCCTGGGCTTGGGCGCAGAGGGCGCAGCAGGGATCCTTGCTGGGTTCCCGTCCGCTGGGGGGGGTTGCGCCCTCCCCTCCTCCCTCCTCTCTCCCTCCTCCCACCCCTTCTCTTCACTCCCCTCCCTCCTTTTTTCTTCTCTCCTCCCTCCTTCCTCCCTTCTGCCTTTCCCTGCTCCTCCTCCCTCACTCCTGCCCGGGCTCATGGTCTGCCCTTGGGCGCAGGTGTTCAGCTCTGTGCACAAGGACGACTCGGGCCAGTACTACTGCATCGCCTCCAACGACGCGGGCTCCGCCAGGTGCGACGAGCAGGACATGGAAGTCTGTGAGTGCAGCGACCTGTCCCTCAGACCGACGGGGGTGGGAGGCTTGTCCCTGAGACAGGTGGGGTGGGGCACGCCCCTCACCAGGTTCGGGGGTGGGGTGGGCGCGCTGCAAAGTGGCTTCAGGCCTCGCAGCCCTCACAGCTCGGAGTTCAGCCACGTCCCTTCCTCAGCTGCGGGAAGAAGCAGTCAGGACCAGTACTGGGGCAGAAGTCCTGAGACCCAGGGGCAGAAGGTCTCGGGACTCCTGTCAGAGCGTTGTGTGTGGCCCCTCCCTTGGGGTGAAGGTTTGCACCGAGCCTGAAGGCGGGCGGGGTGTGAGGGTCCCCCGGTCCTGCCCTGTGCTCCTGTCTCGGCAACGCGCCTCTCTAGGCTTCCTCTGCCGAGCCCCATCAGGGCCCTGCTGTCCCCCCACAGTGGGAGCAGCCTGGGGCGGGAGGGCGGGGTGGGAGCGTCTGTGGGAACAGCCTCTGGGAAAGGCCTCGAGCTGCGTCAGGGAAACTGCCCAAGGCAGGGCTTGCTCGTGCCGGCCCTGTGCTGCTGGGGATGCTTCAGAAAGTCTCCTGTCAGGAGCAGGGCAGACTGGTCCGGGAGAGCTCCCGCGCTTCTCCCAGTGACTGGAGGCTCAGAGCCTCCCACCCTGTGGGTGCTGCTCAAGGGCTACCCCAGAGATGGGCTGAAAGGGCGTGCTCCGACGTGTGTGTGAAATGGGCTTGAAACCGCCTTAAATAGGCCCCGTGAGTGGAAGCTCAACGCTGAGCCGTGGGTCCTCCTCAGACGTGCCTCCGAAGCCGTCTTTGTAACCGCGTTACCGGGTGCTGGGCTGCCGGAGGTCAGTGACCCTCCTGGACAAGTGAGGTCGGGCTGAGTGTTCGGTGTTCTAGGCCCAGAGGTTTTGTGTTTCCTTGGCCAGAGGCCTGAGCTTGGGCTTCTGAAAGTCCTGACGGCGGTGGCCTCTCTTCCAGATGACCTGAACATCGGCGGCATCATCGGGGGCGTGCTGGTGGTCCTGGCTGTCCTGGCCCTCATAACTGTGGGCATCTGCTGCGCATACAGGCGCGGCTATTTCATCCACAGCCAGCAGAGCACTGACAGGTGAGTCTGACAGCTGTGACTTGGGTGGCCTTTAGTGGTGACAGCGGTCACTGAGGTGCTCTCTCTCCTTCCAGTTACAAGGGCCCAGGGCGGCCGGACGGGGTGAACTACATCAGGACAGACGAGGAGGTAAGACAGCGTGGAGGAATCCCGAAATGGTGGGGTCACCATAAGGGAAACTCCTGGGTCCTCCTTGCCTTCTGCCCCTGCCCTGCCCTGGTGCCACCTGGGCAGACATGCTTTTTGCCTTCGAAGAACCGTTCTGCTGGGTTGTTGGGTGATGCTTCTTCCTGGAGGAATGGGGGTCCTGATCTGACCGACTCTTTCCTCTCGGGCGTGGCCTTGCAGGGTGCCTTCCGACACAAGTCGTCCTTCGTCATCTGAGAGATGGCAGCAGTGCACCTGGACACCTCTTCTGCAGCCCTGCTGGCCCGGCAGGTGCCCTTGGACGTGCTGATGTCAGCGCATGCAGCAGTGTTTTGTTTGGCCAAAGTTGACTGCGCCTCTTTTCTGACTCCCTAACAAGCCACGCGAGTAAAGAATTTTCCTCAAGATGGGACAGTCTCCACCAGGAAGACGGCCTGACCTCTGGGGACTGGTTCCAGGCTGTGTGGCTGCCTCGCGCTTGGGAGCTGGGGTTCATCCAGTGTTGGACCCCACAACTGCCACCACGCTCAGGGACAGAGAATTGGCTCTGCCATGGCTGTCCCTCCGCCGGCAGGTGCTGTGCCTTCTCCCAGGTCAGCCGGGAGGCTGTCGTAAAGGCAGCCCAACCCTGGGAGCGCATGCCTGCTGGCGGGGGATGGGGGTGGGAGGGTCTCCCGGAGGGCCCTGCCTGCCCTGGGGTTCGAGTGAGAAGAGCTTCACCTCAGCCTAACTTTGAAATGGTACTGAACAAAGTCCCGCTTTTTCCAATGGGTGTTTTATAACCTTTTACATTCTAAATTTTTGCTAAAGATGTATTTTGATTACTGAAATTTTCTATTTAAACTGTATATATGTTGTCATACAATGTAACATAACCTATTTTTTTTAGAAAAAAAAAGTTCAGGTAGGTGTTCCAGGCTATTAGTGACGTATTGGAAAATGTCAGTGATGAACAGTATTTCAGTCCTAGGTAAGGAGGCTTGCTGGAACATTCCTTTTCTTCACAAGTGTTTGTATTTCTCACATGAGAACATAGGCTGTGTGTGCATCCGGGAACGTTTTGCAAATCCCAGCTGACTCACGTTGACACCTGTCTCCAGAGGGAGGAGCCGCCTGAGACTCGAGGGCCCCCGCTTAGGTCTGCGTATGGACACGCCAGGTGGTGGCCACTCAGCTCCGGCCTCCTCAGCACTGGCCTGGCGTGAGCCCACCAGCTTGAAGGCGCCACATGCACGTGGTCCCCAGGACAGTTCTGAGGTGGCACCCCAGGACGGCGGGGGTTTCATATATTTTTTTCTCATTTGTTTTGTTGGGATGACTGTCCCGAACACAGGCAGTTTTGAATCATTTCTGTGGAGTCCAGAAAGTCATTTTGGAGATGAAGTCTCTGTTCCTGTTGCCATCCCTGAGGGCCACAGACCCGCCATTGCTGTGAGCACAGCAGGCCCGTCTGTGCAGCCGTCCTGCCTTTTGAAGCCTTGGGCAGCTCAGCCCAGGCCGAAAGCAGACTGCGGGCATCAAAGGCACTCCCTCAGTTTGATTTTGGTTTTCATCTACCCAGATGTCCTCACCCAGGGGTCACCTTAGAACATCATTCGGAAGCCTTTGTACTTCAGAGCAGACCCCAGGCTGGTTTGGACATGGCCACATCAGCCTGAGGACGGACAGAGGCAGCGGGGCACAAGGAGCTGCCAGGCCCCTGTGCCGAGGGCAGCTCATCCGGGAGAGGACTTGGTCTTAATATTTTATACTTTGATTTGTTTTTAGTCAAGTACTTGAGCCTTCTGTGGACTGTCGTTTCTGTGTTCTCTGAATCCTTTGCTGGGGGCCTTTGACAAAAGCAGCAGGGTCTCCCCCGCATTGGTCTCAGACACCCTCAGCGTTACGTCCACTGGGGAGCAGGCCCAGCTTCGCCCTCTAGCTGGGAGCCTCGCTCAAGCCTCCTCCTTGGTTGGTATAGTGACGAGGTGGCTTTCAGGCCTGCCTCCCTTCCTGGGTGCTGGACCCTCCTGCTCCAGTGCTGGGTGAACTGGGTGGGGCTGGGCATGAGCAGGTGGGAAGCCATCGCCTATTGCCGTGCTGTGTAGACAGAGGAGTGCGGTGTGTTTTCAGATGTGAATGTGACTGTCTCGGCTACACACGCTGTGTGGCTCTGGCATGCATGTGCTGCAGACCTGTACTAACACCTGCGCATTAGTCTGATAAATCTCATTTATGAAAGACAAATCAGCCGCGCCTCATTGTTTCTCCTCGCGCCGCGTCCTGTCCTCCTGGGTGGTCCCTGCCCGGGCCTCGTTCTGTGGCACACAGGGGGTTGGGGGACAGGTCACTGACAGGACACCCCCTCTGGTTGACATCTCAGAACACACAGCACAGCACTTGAGCTCTGGAGTGTCGGGGATGCGCGCCTGTCCCGTCTCTTCCTGTGGCTGTGGACAGTTTTTCCTGTGCAGGCAGGATGGTGTCGATAGACTCTGGCCGCCGACAGGCACAGAGGCTGCTCCTGCTGCAGACCTCATGGAACCCTCAAGACACATTGCTTCCTTGCAAGCAAGACTGGGCTTTTTATCAGCAGTGTCTGCAAATGAAAGGAACTCCCACTCGAGGCCCTTTTGTAAAAATAGAAAAATTCCATTGAATACTGTAACGCTCTGTTTTTCTGTTTAACTTTTATTGTTCCATTTATAAAGCTTTACACTTTAGAAAAACCTGCCATTTATAAATAAGAATAGGAAAAAATATTACAGTAAAGACTGTTTTTAGCAGTGGGAAACTCCTGTCAGGGATTCTGACAGAAAGCTGCCTGTGGTGCTCCATAGGAGAGGACATTTAGAAGCCCTTGGGACACTTGGAGGGAACTGGGATGCTCAGAGAGAGATCAGGATGCTGGCAGAAGAACCTGGGACATCCAGTGATGGAAGCTGCATTATTAAATATTAACAAACCACTTATTAAAATAGACTGGTGAGACTGCCAACTACACATAGAAGCGAGTCCTGGAATCCCAAGGAAGTGCTGGTATCTCATGGTGAAAGGATAGTGGGGTTGGTGGGGGGCAGCGGGGAGTGAGCCCCAGTCCAGGTGCAGGACAGCTGCCCTTCCCAGCCTGCCCTGGATGCAGTGCACTGCTGTTAGTTGGCTGTTTTCAGGGGGGCCTTGCGGAGCGACCTCCGACTGGGGGCGGGGTTGTCTTTGTTCCTAGCTGGGGACTTCACATTCCATGGCTGAGGCTGAGGAGGCCTGGGAAGAAAAGATAGAATTACTCTGGTAGGAAAATAACGTTTCCCTCCCAAGGAATGTTTAGTCCACTCACAGTTTGTCAGGCAGTGATAAACATAAGATATCTTTTCCCTCAGTCTGGGCTTCAGTTTTCTCTGAAAGGGAGACACAAATTCGGACCTCAAAGAATGGCCAGTGGTGAATGTCCCTGCCCCTGGGCAGGAGAGCAAGACTTACCTTTGTCTGGTGTAGGACTGGGCGTGGTGGCGATGTAGCTGACGCCCGCTTCAAATGTGACATTGTTGATGGTCTCTGGGAAAGGGGACATGGCTTGTTAACGGATGGCCAGTAGGAGCCACCACACCAAGTGGACCAAGCAGGGTCCAGCAGCGGTCAGTCCTGAGTGGCTGTCAGGCCCAGCCTCTGCCACTGCCTTCTTGCTTCAGCAGTTCAGTTTTCTTGAACCACGGCGAGTACTGGTCAGAGCCAGCGGGACTCATTCTCCACACCCCTAACTCCCCTTGGCAATGCAAGCCTTGGAGGCACATTGCCCAGAGTGAGAGGGCAGCCCTGAGCACAGGAGCGGGGGCACCGTACAGGCCACTGCAGAGCAAATCAGTCCTGGCTGTGTAGGGTACAAGGACGGAACCCAAGTAGCAGCAGAGCTGAAGGGCCTGAGATGTGCCAGAGGCTCTGAGCTTGTCAGCTGAGACATAGGCCCTGCCTGGGTCCTTGTTACTGAGCTCACACGTGTCTGCACAAGCTGCTGGGCATCAGAGACTTTGTCTACAGTCCCCCCTCCCCCCGCCCCCTTGGGTCCCCATGGCCCCACTTACTCTCCGGGGTGCTGATGGCTCGTTTAGTCACATCATCGATGGTGCCACTGGACTCTTGTTCCAAGGTGTATGAAGAGGCTGGGATGAAACGGGATAGTTAGCTGAGCTGTTGTCTGGAAGGACCCAAGCAACACCGAAGAACAGAGCCCACGGAGAAGGCAGCTGTGCATGGTCCATGGTACAGGGTGTCCCTGACAGTGAGGAACCCTGTTCACTCTCGCCAGGGTTCACAGATACCAAGAGGGAAGCCGGTGGAAATGGCCACCGGGGGGATTACTGGGGGTTTGGTGGCGGGTGGGCAGTTTGAAATCTTAGTTTCAAAAGTATTTGAGGTTTCTGAGTGCTGGGGATTAACCCCAAGGATTATATGCACACAGGCTGTGTGCTCAAGGAGATTCATTATAACACAGTCTCCAAAAATCAAAAAGCCCCTTCATTTCCAAGAATAGAGCAGGCTAATGAAGTCATAGCACTTCCACAGGACAACGGTTATGCAATCACTGGGAGAAATGTCTGGAAGAAAAGCTGATGGAAAATGTTCACAATATTTCACTATTCTTGCACGAAGGAAGCAGGTGATAAAACAGAAGGCACGCTCAGCTTAGTGTTAAAAATAAAACCAAATGTGTGTGAGGACTAGGAGATGAGAAAAACTAGCCCCTCTGGGCTCCAAGTCCTTGTCATAAATGAACACTGTTCTTACTCAGAACCCCAATGCCCCAGATAATGGTCATTTCTCATTCAAAACAAAAACTACTGGTGAAGGAGATGATGTGGCTCCCTGTGGGTGCGAGGGCCTGGCAGCTCCTGCTCTCCCGAGCCGCCTTTAGACTTACCTCGGTTGCTCCTGGTGTTGTCCAGACTCCCAGAACTCACAGGGAAAGGCAGTGCGCCGAGGCTCCGCCGCCGGTGCTGGTTCTTGGACTCCACGGCTTTCTGGACCGAGTTTAGGATGGCTATGGTACTCAGGGACATTTGTCTGCAGGAGGGCGTGGGAGACACGCAGAAAGCATGAAGACATGGAGAGATGACCCCCGTTCCTCACGGGCATCCTACAGCCACATGCAGGAGCCAAAGGTGGGCTGAGTGGCCACGCAGGGGAAGGAGCCAAACCCTGACGGTGGTGGTGGGGAGGTGCCCACCTGGCTCTAGGCAGTAACCGCTTCACGGAGACCACTGGCAGGGAGGGTGGCACTGCCTGAGGGGTGCGCAGCGGGCTCCCTGCAGGGGCCACTGGGGAGTTCTCATGGTCGGCAGGAGCTGATGAGGTTTCTAAGCTGGCAGCCACCTGTGAGAGAGAGGTTCCACTTTCTAACACGAAAATGACGAGGCCTTTAGAGACTCCATTTGAAACCGTATCAGCGGGGGGAAGAGCCTTCTCAGAGAACGCACAGCCTTGCGCGGATCAGGTGGCATCAGTGAGAAAGCAAACCTGTCTGCGTCCCTTCCAACAGCAGACGTGCCTGGATTTCTCAGGGAAGCAAGAAAATGGGGTCTGGAAGGGGCAGCAAGTCACATAGGAACCCCCTAAGCGACACCTCGTTTTGGGGCCACACACGTAGAAACACTCCATGAGTCTGGGGAGGGGTCAGCTGAAAAAGCAAAAAGTCAATAGAGAGACAGGGCAAGTCGCTATCACAGTCCTCTCTGGAAGGCATAACCACTCGGGTCCTCGGTGCGCCACTTCCTGGGCCATCACACTCCACTCCCCCCACGTCTGAGAGGGAAACCCCATGGTTCGGCCACCACAGGCCCTGTGCTTACCTGCACGGGCAGTGTCCCGCCAGCACCTGCTGCCCCACTGCCATCCGCCTGTCTCATCAGCTCTTGCTCCTGGGCCAGCTGCTCATTGTACTTCTTCATGTCGTACTCCAGTTCTGATGCCAGCTGCTTGTCAACCGTGAAGAAATCCTTGACTTCATCCCGGTAATCCTGCATCACCTCCTAGGACAGAGCAGGGGCACCTTTTATCTGATGCTCATGGGATGACTGCAGGGAAACTGGAAGCAAGAAGGTAGCTTCTGCCTAGCAGAAGTAACAAAGTGACGTTTCTCTGCTGACTATAGTGGCCCTGTTCCCTGCAAACACCCCTGCAACACACTGTCCCCCGCCAACATACACAGAGGGACCCTGATGGGAGACATCTCTGCTGTTCTCAGCCACTGGAAGTTTCTGTCTGGCTCAGCGCAATTTTAAGCAATTTCTGGATTCCTGAGGGGAGCCAACCCTGTAACAGGACATGGGAGTGCCACCAAGAGCCACCTGCTCCACTCCGGGAATTGGGATAACGACCCTGAGCCACTGCTGGGGAAGGAACGCTCAGTGTCACTGAGGCAAGCGCCCTGGGGAAGTGGAGGCATGGCGGGGCCTTGCTACCAGCAATGCTGCAAGTGCATCTTGGATGCCTTTCCACGAAGGGCCCACGGTTAGAGCCAGCGCGGGACAAGCATGGGACTGCATCTTAGAGGAGTGAAGCTTGTCCCTTTTCTGAAGCTTAAAATTGGGCAATTCCCTGAGCACTGCTGGGGGTGCACCGAGGCTTCTGGCCGTGGATCCCAGAACCACAGGTCCTTTAGCAGTAAATTGTCATAATGCAGGTGACTGAGTGGGTCCCTGAGCACAATGGGAAGCTGGGAAGCCCCTGTCCCCGCCCATGAATAAAGATTGGTAATAAAGTAACTAGAAGTTTCATTTGTTCTTTTACACAATGAGTTCTCACTTACCCATTTTCAACTTTTCTAAATTAAGTCATGAAAAAGTATATTCAATGTGACTCTGATGTACCTCTTTGTGGCAAAAAAAAAAGAAAACAACAAAACCTTCAGCAACTTAGAGAACAAGCTAGTGTAAAAGACAAATAAGTTCCTGATGGCAGCTCCCGCCATGGGCCAAGGCCTCTTGCACATGAGAAGAGCTCCACTTCAGCTGAGACTTCGCAGCCTCCTCAGAGCACCCCAAAGCGCCACACACACACACACACACACACACACACACACACACACACACACACAGCTTCTGGGTCGGGGCTGATCTCCATCTCCCTAGCAGAGGCGGCACCACTGAAAGTGGAAACGCTGCTGGATTTTAGTGAGTTCATGTTGTCCCAACTAATTGCACTGTGGCCAGGGCCTTGAGCTCGCCAGCCAAGCGCAGGGCACCCCAGGCAGCCTCACCCTGAGGTAATTCATGAGCTCCCGCAAGGCTGGGATCTTCTTCTTCTCCAGCAGTGACTTCAAAGTGATGATAATCGGAATGATATTTTCAATGAAGTTTCTCTTCTGAACCTGGAGCAACATGAAGGAAGCGTGTTTAGTTGCGGAATTCCTGGTGACAAAGACTTGCCCTATGTAAGTGTAGCTATTCTTGCTGACGATGCTGGGGCCTCATATGGGAGCCTCCACTTCTGTTTTGAAGACTTGTGTGAGCATCATTTTAAACCACTCTGGCTTGGTAAAGGAGGACGGGGAAAGACGCTTCTTATTTTCTAAGCATGGAAAAGGGGCTAGAGATGGGCTGGAGAATTCAGCAGAAAGCTTACAGCCCCCCATTGGCTAGGAAAGTGTCTCAGAACACAAGCTGGCGCTCACGGTGTTTCAGGGGAAGAGCCATGCTGTTAGCAGCATCTCTCTGGGCGCTACATGCATGCGGAAAAGTGCTGCCATTACGTGGAGCCCAGGCCTCTGAACCTTAAGATTCTTGGCTGTAATTGGACACTAACCGCAATGTGCCGTGAAGTGTGTTTTAAGGAGCAAAAGTCACTCTTTTGCCCCCTTATGCAAGATGTGTCCTTCTGAGTCTAAGATGTATTCCTTTTCTTTTCATTCACATCACCAGTGTGCTCCAGTAAACCACTTATTTCTCAACACCAGCCTACCAGAGCGCCTGAAACAGGGCAGAAGGTAGAGAATGTAACAGGAATCTGCAGAGGTGGTCCACCCAGAGAGCGCCTTTAAAAGTGTCTAAGATGCATTCGCTGAATAAATACTATCAAGTGCCTCCTAGCACTAGAGACAAAGTTAGCCCGTGAGACAAACGCGGAGAGTCCTGGCCCTAGTCGCCTCCGGAGCAGGGTGTGGAGGAAGGAAGGGGCGGACAGCAGAGTTCGCAGGAAAGACCTCTCTGAAAAGCTCCCCCTTGGGATGGGCAGGACTCAGGAGGCAAGAAAGGAAAGTAATGACAGGAGAGGGTTCGCAACACGCAAGAGGGCAGGGCGGGAGAGGATGGAGACACCCTGCAGGAGAGACAGGGTGGGGGTGGCACAGTGTGTGAGAAGCTCTGAAAACGGAGCTGAGTTTCATTCAGATGACAGGGCCAACAGTCCATTGACTGAAGATGTCATTAGAGCATAGAGCGTATGCACGGCCAACGCATGGCCCTGTGTGGAGCTGACAAGGGCACACCCCAAGTGACCACACTTCCTGCTGCCCTGCAGCCAGCATGCCTGGGTTTTCTGAGGCAGGAGAGCAAAGCCCTGTTTGTGGTTCTGAAGGTCACTGGCATAAGTGTGGAGGGGCAGCCTGGCAGAATAATGAGAACCTCGAGATAGGACAGGATCTCTAAGACAAAAGGGACAGAAGGAGCTGTCTAAGATGACACTCAGCGACAGCCATCACTTGGCGAAATCCCTGTCACCAGCCGGCTGGCTGTGCTCCAGTCTGTATCTTTGGGCTCAGCAGAACATGGCAGCCACTACTGGTACTCACCACCTGCAGAGGAGTGGGGCTGCTGAGCCGCCCCCAGAGTCCTTCCCACCCTGACCACGGCAGCACGAGGGTCCCTTGTGGGCAGAGAGGCTGAAGGCAGGGAAAGGAGAGGGGGTCTGGGAGTCCTGTGGCTCATCTAGGGAGGCAAGGGGACCTGATACAGGTCCTCAGAAGCTGCAGCTAGACACAGGGACTGAACAAGGACAGACTTCTCTGGGATCACTGCGTCAAAGCAGGTCACACTCAGCTGCTCACAGTAAGCTGGTGACCCCAGCCAGCCCACTGACAGGGTGCCATTCACCTGGGAGATGATCTTTTTCTGAGCTTCCTGCATGACCACATTTGCCAAAGCCACATCGTCTTCCTCCAGGAGCAGGTCCGGCCTACACCTCATTGCCAAGAGCTTGATCTCCTTGGAGCTGAGGATCTCGAAGGTGTCTGAAAGCAGCTCACTGGCTTCCATATCCAGAGGCAGGAGGCCGTCCGCAAAGAAAGCTGGACAAGAGAGGGCGCTGAGGGGGCTGCCAGTGGCCGAGATCAGGACTGATGTCAACAGGCACAAAAGGGGCTTCCTGATGTCCCAAGGTCTCTGGGGACATGTCTACTGGACCATGAGCAACTCAGCCAAGTCACCCCAAACCCACCAGGCCTACCCAAAATACTAAGGCAGAGTTTGGACGTGATGTTGAATCGTTGCTCGTCTGTGAAGTGCTCTAGAAGGAACTTGTAGATTTTCATCCGTTTCTCCCTGTTCATCTTTCCCTTCAGGGAAAACAGCCTCTTCTCTCTAAGCAGAGCAGGAGGTTTCCTGTCACCTGGAGCCCACAGAGCGGGACATCTGTCCTCCAGGCTTGGCTAGCACTGCAGCTCAGGGCCAGCCCGAAGAGGACAGTGCAAAGCAAAGGCCCTTCCATCACTTCCCCGTCTCCTGGTCCTCATCCCATGCCCCGGCTCTTCCCCGATGCCGCACTGACCTCTCGGACTGGGGGAACTTGTTATACTTCTCGTGCTTCTCGTAGTTATTGAAGTGGAAGATGCATTCGGTGAAGTGCTGGAAGAACAGGCCAGGGCTCCTCTTCAGTAAGAGGTGAACCAGGCAGAACTCCCCAAAACTGCAAGGAAACCAGATGCCTGGTTACTGGGGGCAGTCTCGGGATTCCTGCCCCAGCCTGCCTGACAGTAGGGCCTGGGAACCGTGCTGGGGGAACACTGGGTCTATCCAATCAAGGCAGCCACAAACGGTGCTTCTCTCATTCCACATGCATCCACATGTGGAATTCACACAACATTCACACAACACATGCACACAAACATGGGCACACAACACATGCACACAAAATGTGCACACACAGAACGTGGCACACAATGCACGCACACACAACACTTCACACACAATGCATGCACACAACACGGCACAAACAACACTCACCCACATAATGTGGGTGCCTGATTGGCAGTCTCTGGAGTCCAAGGTCAGCAGAAGGCCCTTCACTGTTGCCCCCTGACCTTGTTCCTGTCAAATTCTAATGTCACTCAACTGCTCTGCCCAAACACTGCTTCCAGCAAAGTGGCTTAGGGACCAATTGGGAAAGCCACAGGGAGCTGGAGCGCCAGCGCAGCACCTCACATGTGCAGGTACACACGCGACTATCTGACTGACCTCCTTGGCACTGCACGTAAACCCTTTTCAGAGACAGGGACTTCCCAAGTGGGACTGACACAGCAGGACAGCGGGCAGGCAGGGCAGGTACCTCCACTGTCAGACCTACTCCAAGAGGGGGCCCTCAAGCCCTGGGCACCTTCTGTCCTCTGCTGGAGAGGCATAAACTGGACTCAGAGGTGACACATCACCAGCACCCACTCCTAGAAAGGGTAGTGGCTACAGCTGATGTGTACACACAGTGAGGCACACATAATGCATACACATCACGCGCACATGCAAGTCAGGCAGTGGTGACAGCTCTGACAGCAGCAACAGCGTGGGGACAAGGGCTGGGCCCAGTCTACTCCACTGCCAGCAGGTGTCCTTTTGTTTTTTTTTGCTTTTTTGGGTCACACCCGGCGATGCTCAGGGGTTACTCCTGGTTCATGCACTCAGGAATCACTCCTGGCGGTGCTCGGGGGACCATGTGGGATGCTGGGAATTGAACCAGGGTCGGCCCTATTGGCTGCGTGCAAGGCAAACACCCTACCCGCTGTGCTATCGCTCCAGCCCCAGCAGGTGTCCTTTTCAAGTCAGCAATCTTAAGTCTCTGGGGGACTTAAGACTCCCAGGAGGGAGCACTGTCGGGATACTCCCTCCCAGTCCCTGGGCCAATGGTAACTGGGTCTGCCACAGCACACATCTCAAGAGAAGTGGACCTGTGGCAGTCTCAACCCCGTCCCAAGAGCCGTCGTGCAGCGCTGTACCAGGACCCTCCGCACCATGATGAAATGTGCCAGTATCACCATCAAGTGTGTGTGCACACCCCCAAGTATGAATATGTGTCCTCCTGTGCATGTGCATTCCCCATATGTGTGTGCCCCCAAGTGGTGTGCGTGTCCCTGTGTGTGTCCCCAAGTGAGTGTGCGTCCCCATGTGTTCATGTTTCCATGTAAGTGCATGTCCCCAAGTGTGTGTGCTGTTTCTGTGTGTACATGTCCCCAAGTATCTGTGTCCTGTGAGTACATGTACCCAAATGTTAATGCGTGTCCCAAGTGTGTGTGCGTGTCTCCATGTATGCGTGTCCTCAAGTGTGTATGTGTACCCCCAAGTGTGTATATGTCCCTGTGTGTGTTCCCACATGTATGCATCCCCATATGTGCGCATGTCCCCATGTGAGTGCATGCCACGTGTGTGTGCATACCCCCAAGTGTGTATGCATGTCCCCATGAGTACGTGTCCCTGTGTGTGCATTTCCCCAGGTGTGAGTGCATGTCCCCAAGTGTGTGTGTCCCGGTGGATGCGCGCGTCTCTGTGCGTGTACATGTCCTCGTGCATGTGTGTGTCCCCTTGCTGTCGCCCCAGTCAGCACCACGACCATGAAGGAAAGAGGGGAAGTGCAGAAACAGGGAGCAGCCAGAGTCTGAGGCTGGAGAAAGGCCAGTTCCTGAGTCCCTGCTGCCAGGGGAGTGCTCACTTTGCACATACAAGGCCTTGGTTCTCTCCCCAGCATGAAATCCCACTTTTCACTGCAGATTCTTACCTAGAAAATGAGGAAGCAGCTGGCAGAACAAAGAAAACAAAACCAACCCAAATCTATTTACTGACAGGTGTTGCCTGCAGAGAAAGTCACCTCTGGCCAGCTAGCAGCCGTGTACTCTGTCGGCAACACGTTCATCCCAACCTGTGTTTAGAGACTCAGGGTGGAGACAAGCAGCTCAGGGCACAAGAGGGAGCTCTCCCCACACAAGGGTCACCGCCTGAGGCAAACCCTGAAGGGCAAAGAGTGGAAACACATTCACAAGCAAGAGTACAGCAGGTGGCGCAGAGCGCTGGGACTCTTGGGGAACTGCGGGGCCTGAGCTCTGCATGGTGAGAGAATACCCCCAGTCACTGGGTCACACCCCCAGTGCCAGCCTCACGGCTGCAGATGTCAACCAGGTCCGGAGGGAGCCCCCACGCAGGAGCAGCTTGAGAAGAGGCAGGCGTCACTGTGGGGGAGTTGTAAAGCTTCCAGATCATCCCTTGGATTGGCAGTTGGCACAGAACGGCTCCTCAGCTCAAGAGGGGTCTGAGGGCAGGAGAAGCAGCAGCCTTTCCCCAGCTCTCCTCGCCCTCGCCCCAGGACACTCGCCAAAAGGCACAGGGAACAAGCATCCAGGGATGCTGATGTGGACACAGCAATCTCAGCACTGGACAGAGAGAAGAGGATCCCAGCTCAAGCTGGGCACGGATGCCCTGAAGGAAAAGCTTCGAGGGTCAAAGAGCCTAGGAGGGCCCAGGCGGGGCACTTCTTTTTGTTTCAGACCCTCTAAGAGACTTCAGGGTTGGGGAGGCTGCTCAGGAGAAGAAAGAGCGGCCTGGCGTGTGCAGGCTCTGGGCCTGAGCCCCAGAAGCACCCCCAGAGACCAGACACTGTAGGATGAGGCCCCCCCGAAACCAACCGCCACTGCCTCTTTCCCATATCTCCCAAACCAAATGCTACTGGGAAGCGGCTCTGCTGGCTCAAGCTCCTCTTCCAACATCACCGCCCTCTGGTCCAGGCCCGCTCTGTGACTTAACAGGGAAGCCGTAGGGACTTTGCTATGGGACCAGCAGAAAATTTCCAAGTGACACCAACTGTAGACTAGAGACCGAAAACCACTGCTCCACATTCTCAATGGCTTCTGTGTCCATGTGTGTCCCAACCCCCAACCCGGCCATCTCTGTCTTTCTCTGAGGTGTTATATTTCTGTCATTCGTGCTGAGAACCTCCCTAGTCCCCTTTGTTGAGCGCTAGCCCCCCACCCCCCACCCAGTGCTTGCTAGGTTAAAGGGCCCATCATTATCATCCTCGGACTGTGCTACAAGGCCGCCCCCTAGTGGCAACAGGAAAATATGCTGGGCAGTTCTGGAAACCCAATTTGATCTTAATGGTGAGGGCACAGAGTTCAACTCCTCACGCATGTGGCCCCACATGGCCCTGCAGCACTCCTGGCTGTGGCTCTGGAGAACCCTGTGCCCTGTGAGACCATGCGACTCTTTACTCTCAGGCCACCGCATGGATCGTCTGACTCAGTTGGTTGGCCCAGTGTTGCTGGGCCTGGTCCCTGGGCCGGGGTCCCTAGCCCTCACCCCACCCCAAGCTGAAAATGTCACACAAATTGGTTCATGTTAAATATTCAGGGACTCCACCTCAGAGGTTCTGCCACTATAGTCTTTCTGAAGGTTATTTTTGGTTTGTTTTGGTTTTTAGGCCATACCCAGTGTACTCAGGGCTCACTCCTTCCATGCCAAGAGGACCACATGCACATGTGCAAGGCAAGTGACTTAACCCCTGTAACCATCGCCTCAAGCTCTCTTTGAAAGAACTGTATTAGCAGACAGCCATGGGGGGAAGTGTATTTAATCTAAGGATATTATTTTGTCTTTTCCGCTAAATACAGGGAACTGTACTAATTTAAACTATGGCTAGCTTTAAAGCTGGGAATCATCTACATCTGAACCTTACCCAGAATACAGAGAAAAAAAAAATGGAAAGAGCTAAAGGAGTAAAGGAGTAGTGTTTCAATATAGGCACTGATAATCTTATTACAATGAAAATATCTCTTTTTATTCTAATTTCAGTCCGCTACATGTTCTGATCACCTATGTAACAGGTTCTGCGTACATTTTACATAAGTCTGTGTAGACAGGAGCTGATAAAAATGGGGAGGAACAGATAAAGGCAGTTCCTGTCACCAATCTGCTAGCCAGGATCATCATCAGAAAACCTTCCAGGCACCTGTGTGTGCCCCTGGGTGGCTTCTGGGACAGGGGTGCTGAATGGCATTCCCAATGGCAGGGCCAAGATGGTCCTCTCCCAATTACACAAATGAATAAAAGGCAAAGTAACTGCCTTAGCTTCTGCTTCTGGTTTTAGACAGTATTAATTAAACGTTAACCTTCTACTAGTTTATTATGTAGAATGCTTCTTCTTGGAAAATTATACCCAAAGGGAATTGGATAGAAAATTTTCCATGGAACTCAGAGTAAATCATTAGGGGCCATATTTTTAGAACCAGAGGGACCCATTATTAGAGACTATTTATAGTTAATGAACTCTATAAAGACTCTAAAAAGACCTTTGCCCAACTGTGGTTGCTTCTGCCATGGCATTCAACATTCTATTTTCTAGTTACAAATTTCCTTTAAAAAATACTTACCTAAGACAATCTAGGTTAATAAATTCTGTCAGATTTTTCAACCCCTTGAAAGTATGTATTTAAAAAAGCTACAGAAGCTGTTAGAAAAGATGAAGTCATGAAATTTACACACAAGTGGTACTACATGGAAAGTATCATGCTAAGTGAAATGAGTCAGAAAGAGAGGGACAGACATAGAAAGACTGCATCCATCTTGGGAACATAAAGTAACAAAATAGGAGACTAACACCCAAGAATAGCCATGATAGGTACCAGGAGGTTTACTCCATGGCTTGGAGGCCAGTCGCACACGCTAGGGGAAAAGGCAACTCAGATAGAGAAGGGAGCACCAAATAAAGGGTGTTGGGAGGATCCTCCCTGGATGGGAGATGCATGCTGAAAGTAGACCACAGAACATGATTTCCACTCAATGCCTCTTCTGTAAACCACAGCACCCAAAAGGTGTTCTCTCAAAAGAGAGAACAAAAGGGAATGCCCTACCACAGAGGCAGGGTGGGATCGGGGGGGACAGGGGGTGCGAGGGATACTGGGATCAGTGGTGGTGGAGAATGGGCACTGGTGGAGGGATGGGTACTTGATCACTGTATAAGTGAAACCCAAGCACAAAAATTTGTAAATCTACAACACTATCTCATGGTGTTTCACTAATAAAAATTAAAAAAAAAAAACAAACCCAAAAAATAATAAAAAAGCTACAGAAGGGTAGGAATGAACAGAGGCAAAATTATTCCCTTCCCTTTCAATTCTCCTGAAACACCCATTTCCAAGGAGACTCTGAATATTCTCTTTTACAATTAATTGTAATGTATTATTCTCTTGTAAAATTTTAGTTCCTGGAATTTCTTAAGATTTCTGCATTCAAAGAAGTCTATACTTCTATCAAAAATTCACTGGCCTTGGGGGCTGGAGCAATAGCACAGCGGGTAGGGCATTTGCCTTGCACGTGGCTGGCCCGGGTTTGATTCCCAGCATCCCATATGGTCCCCCGAGCACCACCAGGTATAATTCCCAAGTGCATGAACCAGGAGTAACCCCTGTGCATCGCCGGGTGTGACCCAAAAAGAAAAAAAAAATTCACTGGCCCATAAATATCTATGGTTAAGCCCAGAGTTAATGGTGGCTATTCCTTGTGGCTTCTTTTTACTTATTTATTGAAATAGAGGGCTGGAGGTAGGGTGTTTGCCTTGAATGCAGCCTACCTGGGTTCAATTTCTCCATCCCTCTTGGAGAGCCCGGCAAGGTACTGAGAGTATCTCGCCTGCACTGCAAAGCCTGGCAAGCTGCCCGTGACGTATTCAATATGCCAAAAACAGTAACAACAAGTCTCACAATTTGTTGTGCAACGTTACTGGTGCCTGCTCGATGAGCAATGGGAGGACAGTGCTACAGTGCAGTGCTATTGAAATAGAAGAATTTATTGGAAAGTAAAAGAGTCACTCCCTAGTCCCAGCCAGGAAGGAACTTAGGATAAGAAGTTCTATTCCCCCTAGTCCCAGCCAGGAAGGAACTTAGGATAAGAAGAAGTTCTATTCCCTGTGATTTACTGAATCATTCCTCCAAGAGCAAACAAGGTAGTAAATGAAGTACTGATAAGATTATTTAATATTGACGGCTTCTTTTAAACTTGGGTGCAAAATAAAGCTGCTATACAGCTTAGTGGGTTTTTCCTTTGTTTTTTTGGGGGGTCTTGGGGCCACACCTGGAATTGCTCAGAGGACCACATGGGGTGAAGGGGATTGAACTCAGGTTGGCTGCAAGCAAAGCAAATGCCTTACCTGCTGTATTGCTCCAGTCCCTAGCTTAATGTTTTTTTTTTTAAACAAACAAAAACAAACAAACAAACAAACCAGCTAATTGTCTGGCAATGGAAAAATCTCCCTAAATCCTAAATAATTCGCTAAATACTATATAAGCCAGTTTATATCAGAAATGAGCTGCTTGATGTCTGAGGAAGATTTACCTGGCAATGTCTGGGTATGAATCTGTCAGTGTGCTGATGAATCGAAAAAATAGAGAGTCCTTCCACTTCACGAATTCTTCCTGCACAAAAAGAGACCAGGGTGTCAGGAGGAAGGTCACAGTGCACCCAGTTAAAACAAAGTAGTTTTCTCTTGTCGAACAGGATACCTTCCTCCATCTCTTATGGCACACGTCAGTCAGAGAGGTGAAGGGGGACACAGGGAGAATAAGAATAGCATGATAGCTACCTTCTTACTGTCACTGAAAAAGGACTCAAAGTACCTGGCTTTAGGGGGGAGTGCCCTGGCGCCTCCCTTAGAAACACACAACACACCATTAAAGACACACAACTCAGTCAAATCCCTTTTTATAAAGAGCCAAGATTATTTACGAACAATACAGGCTGAATCTTTGTTCTTGATGTGAGCCTGGCCACTGAAGGCCCTGTAGTAACAAGTCTCTGTGCACATGACAGAAAAAAACCTCACAGGATTCTCCAAGCCCTTGGGAAGGTAGCGAATAATCGTCATTGTCCAGCTGGAGAAGTTCCCACTGAGGCCCGCTGACTACGCAGTCATGAGGCAGGAACCAGAGCCACTCACCTGCTTTTTCCTCTGTGGTGTGGATTTGTAAAACTGAACCATCATATTGCTTGACAGGATACAGAGCAAACACCCGAAATGAATATTAGGATGTAACACTCTGCGTAAATGGTGGCACTGAACAGAAAGCTGTCACAATTTTAACCCCAGAGGAGGCTGATTATTTTTGGATTCTATGACAAAGCAGCCTGCGCTGCACCTGGCAGAAGAGACGGCGAGGGGAGGGCCGCGCTAATACGGACCTGTAAGAGATTGGTGAGTAAAGTCAGCGTCTGCTTTCGGATGAAGGGATCGGAGTCCTTGAGGCACATGGAGATGTTGGGGATGTACTTGTCCACCACGGCGGTATAACGCATACAGAGGTCACACAGAACAATGATCACGTTGTTGCGCACGGCCACGTCGCTGCAAATCTCTAGCTCTCGAACAAGGGCTGGAACACTCTTCTTGGCAAGATCTTCATGCTGTAAGCAGAGCTTACCTGCCATAGGAGAGTTAGTATTCGTCCCTCTATTCTAGTCTAAGTCTCAATTTCCTACAGGGAGCTCTTACTATGAATTATTTAATCCAAATAGGGGGAAAAATGCAAGGCTGGGAGATAGTACAGTGGTTAAACTGACTGGCTTGTGGCTGACTCTGGTTCAATGCCCAGCACTGCATATGGGTCCCCCTGAACACTACTAAGAGTGACACTTTTAGTACAGAGTCAAAAGTCAAAAGTCAAAAAGTCTGGTGAACCCAATACCCCCAAAAGAGGTAAGGTAAGGTAAAGGCCCTCCCGTTGATCGTCGATTTGCTCGAGCGGGCCCAGTAACGTCTCCATTGGAGACTTTGTTGTTACTGTGTCTGGCATATCGAATACTCTCGGTAGCTTGCCGGGCTCTCCGAGAGGGGCGGAGGAATTGAACTCGGGTTGGCCATGTTGGCCGCGTGTAAGGCGAAAGCCCTACCCGCTGTGCTATCGCTCCAGCCCTTTACCCCCAAAAGAGAATGACCCCAAACCTCACAAACCAAAATATCAAAGGCAAATGGATCCATTATTAGTATCAGGAAGCTCAAGATCGTCCCTCCCCTGGGTTTCATGAGAATGCAAACTGTGAAATGCTCCTTCTACTTAGTCAAATAATTTTCTCTGTAAAGTCAACATTTGAATTTTAGAGGTACTGCTAATAACACTTTTTCTCTGGGGTGGGGGCACAACACACCAGGTAATGCTCAGGCATTATTCCTGGCTGTGTTCAGGGATTAGTCCTGGTAGGATTGGGGGACCATATGGGTTGCCAGGGACTAATACCAGGTTAACTGCATCAGTTAAAGGCAAACACTCTACCTGCTGTGCTATCTCCCAGGCCCCCGATATTATCTATTTTTGGTAATCTATAAAACTCTTAAGTTTAACAATGAACTTGAAACCTGAGCTGGTAAGCAAGAGAATTGTCTTGGTTTTATTTCTTATAAGGGAAGAAAGGCTAGTCTCTATTTTATTTATAGCTTGGTGAATGTTTTAATCTGTAGATTTTGAAAAATAATCATTGTAATAAAAATAATTCATAACTCTTCTTGAGCCTTAAAATGTTCAGTCATACTAAAGAAAGAAAATCTCAAATGACAGGATAGAGGAGTGTTTTCAAGATGAAAAGTTGACTTTATGGAGTAATAAGTTTAACAGCCCCTCTACCAGTTCAAAACCCAAATGAAATGTGCTTTTTTATTTCCAGAATTCAGGGCAATGCCTGGTATAGAGATATAGATGAAGAGAAATCATGGTGCGACAGGAAAATTTTTTAAAAAAAATCACATGAACAGGTGCACATGGAGTAGTAGATTCAGTAACTGAGCCGAAAGGACACAACAGGTAAGGATGGCTGAGGCAGCCACTCACCTCTGGGCTCTCACAATCAGCTATTAATCATACCTAGAGAGTGGGTGCTCCAATCGAATGGCACCTCCCCCCACCACCGGCCCCAATCCTAACAGTCACAGCAAACATGGGCTCATCAGTTTGTTTTTCGGTTTGGGGGCTACACCTTGCAGTGTTGCATGCAAGGTAGGCACCTGAACCCCTGGACTATCGCTCCAGTTCCTTATCAGTTCTTAACTCAGACCTGTGCTGGTTTGGTAAGGAAAAAAGCCACACGGGAACCAGGCTGCACAAGTTGCCCCTCTGACTCACCCAATGTAATGATGGCATGTGCTCTTATCACAGAGGGCATGGCAGAGCCTCGGACCTGGGGAGGTGGCTGGGAGGCAGGAGCTTCAGTGCTGTTCTGAGTGGCAGGGACTGTGGTGGGGAAGAGAAAAATGATCATTTACAGTACTTCCGGATCAGGTGAGTCCTAAGACAGCATGTGGGGAGGACAACGTCAAGTTCCTTACCAAAGTCTGCATCAGCAGAAGAAGCCAGAATGGACTGAATGAGAAGGAAGGTCCTCTTCTCCACCTTGGTTGGGCAGAGCTGGGCAATATCACCTAATGTAAAAATGTACTTTACCTACGAAGAGAATGGATTTATCAACAAAAGACAAAAAGAAAAATTAGCCCAGCTAAATTAAGGACATGTCAATGGAATCCTTTAATGGTCCCCAAATTAAAATAATTTTTTCTGGGGGCCGGAGCAATAGCACAGTAGGACTATTGCGTGCCTTGCATGCAGCCGACCCAGGTTCAATTCCCAGCATTCCATACGGTCGCCCAAGCACTGCCAGAAGGAATTCCTGAGTGCATGAGCCAGGGGTAACTCCTATGCATCGCTGGGTTTGACTCAAAAAGCCAAAAGAAAAAGAAAAATTTTTTTTCTTACAAAACAATCACTGTAAAAATGAATCACTGCTTTATAAAACTTTTAAAAAATTATGATCATATAATTTTCTCATCTTTCATTATGTATTTTTTCAAGTAAGAAGAATGTTATAGGGGCTGGAGAGATAGCACAGCAGGTAGGGCGTTTGCCTTGCACGCGGCTGACCTGGGTTCGATTCCCAGCATCCCATATGGTCCCCTGAGCACCACCAGGAGTAACTCCTGAGTGCAGAACCAGGAGTAACCCCTGTGCATTGCCAGGTGTGACCCAAAAAGAAAAAAAAATGTTATAGTGATGCTATTAATTATGCTATATAGGTAAAAAATACCTATTAGTAATCATCTACCTAAGGGCTGGAGCTATAGCACAGCGGTAGTGCGTTTGTTTGCCTTATAAGCGGCCAACATGGCTGACCTGAGTTCGATTCCTCTGCCCCTCTCGGAGAGCCCAGAAAGCTACCGAGAGTATCTCGCCTGCACGGCAGAGCCTGGCAAGCTACCCGTGATGTAGTCAATATGCCAAACACAGTAACAACAAGTCTTACGATGGAGACGTTACTGGGCCCGCTCGAGCAAATCGATGAACAATGGGAGGACTGTGATACCGTGAATCATCTACCTATAATGCCAACACATACAGACCTCACTATTTTTGTATAATTTTCTGTATGTTTACAGTTATACAGCTAAATATCTGCTATGTTTATGTAATTAACAATCCATGCTATTACAAAGTTTTCAAGCAGTACTTTAAACATTGCACAACCACGCATAACATATACAATAAGAGCTCAATCACTACATATCCATAAAATCTTACAATATCCATTTATTCTGGTGTGAGGCTATTTCTAACCCTTTGCTATTTGTATCCGCACCCAGTGACACAGCACTGTTCTTCTCCTTAGAAGTGACTCTGGTGCCAAACTGCTCTACATTTTAAACAGGGCCCTTACTGTTTATTGTATAGGCTCCTGCTTCCTTGTAGATGCACCACTGTCCATTCACTAAGGACATGCAGCTAAGAAATAAAACAAAATAGTGGTTTTTTTTTCTTTTTGGCAGGGGGAGGGGGGTCACACCCGGTGATGCTCAGGGGTTAATCCTGATTCTGCACTCGGGAATTACTCCTGGCAGTACTGGGGGGACCATATGGGATAAGCAGGATCAAACCTGGGTTGGCCTCATGCAAGGCAAATGCCCTACCCACTGTACTATTGCTACAGCCCCAATATAGTGGTTGACTTAAAAAATACAGGAGTGATATGTAATAGTATACGTTCAGTAAAGCCTTATTTACTGGGCAAAGTCAATAAAAAGTACATGTGTACTTAAGCATTTCTGAACATACTTTGAGTTGATTAAGAAAATATTTAACATACTGTACTAAAAGAAGTACTAAATAAACAATATTCACAGGCAATATTTTTCCTGTCTTTCATGGAGGGTAGATCTGCATGCCAGAATTAATAACCGAGGAAAGAATCTTAAGAGTACAAACACCAGTCTGGCATTTTTCTTAGTTTGGGCAGTACTTCCCCAGACAAGTGAGAACAGCATCCTCCAGAACCCTAGCAGGGGGCATTTGAGACACTGAGAACTGAGATACCAGTTTCTGTCCAGACTTCAGAGCTGGGCCTGAGTCTTGGACACACAGTTTCTCTTCTAACAAAGCTAAGCAGATTCTTGTATAACTAGGTAGTAGTACTGTAGCACTGTTGTCCCGTTGTTCATCAATTTCCTCAGTGGGCACCAGTAACGTCTCCATTGTGTGACTTGTTGTTACTGCTTTTGGCATATCAAATATGCCATGGGGAGCTTGCCAGCCTCTTCTGTGCAGGCAGGATACTTTCGGTAGCTTGCCAGGCTCTCCGAGAGGGATGGATAGACCCGGGTAGACCGCGTGCAAGGCAAACGCCCTACCTGCTGTGCTATCATGGCAAAGCAAGAAGCATTGCAGGAGGAGGATTTTAGCAAACTTTTAAATAGATGAGGAAAGTGGTCAATTTTGGTTAAATGGTGACCTGCTTAGGGTTTGGAAAAGAAACTCCTTACTCTCATCACTGATCAGTATCAGGTGTTGTAATTAAACCTGTCACAACATATTTTGCTGATGGTAAGTCACAGTAAGACACCGCTGCTCCTATCCTGGTCCCTCATACACTCATGCTGCTTCAAAGTCATCTGTCCTCGGCTGTCAGATACAGCTGACCCTTGAACAAAACCAGTGCGAACCTTGAAGTTCCACTGTATTCACAGATTTGAGCAATCTTAGCCATCCTCTGACTGATTCCTTGGATGCAGAGCCACAAGGCAGGAATGAGGGGCAAATCTAAATGACACGAGGATTTTGAACTGTGGGTGGGATGAATGGGGGTCGGCATCACCGACCCTAATGTTATTTCAAGGGTCAAGTGACTGCAAACAGGATTCTGTTCTAGGTTGGCATGGAAGCAGCTCAGCAGACATATTTTCATTCATGAATTAAATAAACCAAAGAAATGAAATGTATACTCCATGTATTATTTTCTCACCTTGAATTTAATTCAATCAAGTTCAAAACAGTATCTTCCCAAACAGAGCCGATATCACCGGGAGGTCCCAGATGGGGTAGGTGCTGCCGTCCCACCTTCTCCAGATGGAACCCCGGTGACCATGAGCTCCTACAAACATAGCTTTGGCATACGGGTACCAGGACATTTTTTCCGAACCCAACATGACCCCAAGTCATCGCCCATGAATGGCTTCTCTGGCTCCTGATCAAACTGCTTTATGGCCATGATCCCAGAGACTCAGAAACAAATCTCGAAACCCAGCGGCTTTTGGTAGAAATGCGTCCAGACCACACAGTAGGTTACTGTCGCTGGGCCAACCCAGGGGGGAAAGGGTGTTGTCCCTCTGCCTGCTTCCCCCTGGCGGCTTGGTGGCCGTCATCCTCCAGAGGCGATTGAACAGTCAGGTTTGGGCCCGCAGTGACGAGACACGCAGGGCCTCACAGGAAGGGGTGGAGCTGGTCCTGTCCTCCCCACCCCAACAAGACCCCAAGTCATCACCCACGAACGGCCTCTCTGGCTCCTGATCAAGCTGCTTAACAGCCATGATCCCAGAGATTCGAAACAAATCTCAAAACCCAGCGGCTTTTGGCAGAAATGTGTCCGGACCCCGCAGTAGGTTACTGTCGCTGGGCCACCCCGGGGGGAAAGGGTGCTGTCCCTCCGCCTGCTCCCCCTTGGTGGCTCGGTGGCCGCCATCCTCCAGAGGCCATTGGACAGTCAGGCTTGGGCCCGCAGTAATGAAACTTGTTGGGCCTCACGGGATGGGGGTGGAGCCGGTCCTGTCCTCCCCACCCCAACGAGACCCCAAGTCATCGCCCACGAACGGCCTCTCTGGCTCCTGATCAAGCTGCTTAATGTCCATGATCCCAGAGACTCAGGAGCAAATCTCGGAACCCAGCAGATCTTGGCAGATACCCCTCCAGATTTAAGTGTTAAAATTTCGGAATTTCAAAATCACATGGCCACTACTGTGGCTGCATGACATCATATGTTATTCATAACCAGCAATAGAAAACAAATTGTCTACTGTTGCCTTTTCAGCAGATCTGAGTGTGGGGGTAAAATCCCAAATAATAATGGTGGGTCTGGTGTCAAAATATTGAATGTGATCAAAGTAGAGAGAGAGGAATGTGGAAATCATCTGCCCCACTGGTAGGGGGAGGGTCTGGGATGGGGGTATACTGGGGCTGTTGGGGGTGGAGAATGGGGACTGGTGAAGGTACGAGTGTTTCATTGTATGACCAAGACTTATACCCGAAAGCTTTGTAACTGCTCTCACAGTGATTCAATAAATAAGATTATAAAAAATGAAAAAAAAAGTAAGATGGATTTCATGCACAATTCAATCAGCTAATCAATCAGTGGCTGAATAAATAGCAATACTCCTACATATAAAAAAAAAAGAATCACTGGAGTCCCTGAAGAACAGGAAAACTAGATGAAGAAATAATATTAAAGAAATGAAAAATAAGAATTTCCAGAGTTACATGAACTGACTGTTGAAAGTAGATAAAGGGACATACACAATTTCAGCATCTGTACTGTAAACCATAATGCCTAAAATGAGAGAGAGAGAGAGAGAGAGAGAGAGAGAGAGAGAGAGAGAGAGAGAGAGAGAGGAGAGGTCCCTGCCATAGAGGGGCAGGCTGTGGGCAGGCTGTGGTGGGGGTGGGAGGGAAACTGAGGACAATGGTGCTGGGAAACTACACTAGTGAAGGGATGGGTGCTGGAACACTGTATGACTAAAACCCAATAATCAACAGCTTTGTCATGCTCTATCTCACAGTGATTAAATTAAAAAAATAAATAATTTCCCAGAGTTGAGAAATACAGGTACCAAGATCCAAGAGGCCTAACGGGTTCGAGCAAAAATAGACACACATAGGAAAACTCTAAGACACAGTGTGCTCAGAAGTCAAAATCCAAAGACTGAAACAGAATACTGGAAGCAGCAAGACCAAAGAAGGCCATAAGATCCACAGAAGAGCTATCAAATGAGATTCTATGAGACAGAAGAGAATGGAGGCATACAGTATAAAAACTCAATGAAATGAGCAAGTCACCAAGAACACTCTATCCAGCTAGATTGTCATTCAGATTCAGAGTCTCAGGGCCAGGCAACAGCTTAGAGAATTCATAGCCTTGAAACCAGTATAGCAAGACGCACTAAAAGAACTTCTTTATAAGGAAGACCAAAAATTAAAAAAATGCTAGACAAACTAGCACTAGCACTGAGTACAGCACTCACTCATGGTGCATATGGTTGCCCTCCACTACAATAAAGAGTCTTGTACTCCGATCCTGTCAAAGGGTCATATACATTTGCAATAACAAATTGGTATTTCATTTATACTGAAATTTATGTATCTGGTAAGGTGTTTTCTTAATTAGCGATAACACAGCGGGTAGGGCATTTGACTTGCACGTGGCCAACCTGGGTTCAATTCCTCCGTCCCTCTTAGAGAGCCTGGCAAGCTACTAAGAGTATCCTGCCCAGATGGCAGAGCTTGGCAAGCTTCCCGTGACGTATTCAATATGCCAAAAACAGTAACAACAAGTCTCACAATTTGTTGTGAGATGTTACTGGTGCTTGCTTGAGCAAACCAATTAACAACGGGAGGACAGTGCTACAGTGCTACAAGCCCATTTAGATTCTCCCCTTATATTTTCCTTACATTTCTTCATCTTAGTAAATTTTACATCTGAAGGACTTATCTATTTAATGAAAATTTTATATATTAGTACAGAATTATTCATAATATTAAAAAATTGATGTATCTGCAGAGAAATTTTTTACTTTAGCAATTTACCATTAATTTATAATTTTTTGAAACTCAGATTGGTGATTCTTTTCTATATGTGTAGGTGCCACCACCTCCACAATAAAAAAAAAAAGATGTATCCCAAATATGAGATAAAAAAAGAAATATAGTAAGGGAACAACAAATTGTCTTCAGAACTGAGCTGAAGATGGTGTCTGGGGGTGGTGTTAGGGACCTTGGGACACGTTGGAGGGAAGCAGGCTCTCTGGTGATGGATGTGGTGTTGGAATGATACATCCATGAAAAGGATGATTAGTAGTATTGTAAATCCTGGTACCACACCAAAAATGGTTTTTGAGAAATTCTTTTTTTTTTTTGCTTTTTGGGTCACACCCGGCGATGCACAGGGGTTACTCCTGGCTCTGCACTCAGGAGTTACTCCTGGCAGTGCTCAGGGGACCGTATGGGATGCTGGGAATCGAACCCGGGTCAGCCGCATGCAAGGCAAACGCCCTACCCGCTGTTCTATCTCTCCAGCCCCTTGAGAAATTCTCCTAAGGGAAAAAATTAAGAGAGAGCATAAGAGACTTATCTAACAGTTATCTTTAAACAACAACCACCAACTGGGGAGCCAGAGACAGCCTGAGTGGCAGAGCTCATGCCCTCCATGCTCAAGTCCCTGAGTGTGATGCCCAGCACCACATGGTCCTTGAAGACTGCTGGGTGCAGCCCTGGAAGTCCCCAGGATGGTGCCGCCCACATGTCAAGCACTGCTGGATGCAGCCTTATAAATGAAGCAACGAAAGGAAGAACAAAGCAGGGTTAAGACAGATACCACTCACCAACAGATCTTCGTCCAGATGCCCGGCTCCGTTTTCCTTCAGGACGATGTTGGAGAGGCGGTGGATGCATGTGGAGAGGACGGCCCCGCACACCTGCTGCAGCAATTCCTACGGCAGATCATGACCACATGTGAAGGATCCATGTGTCCCGCAGAGTTCCCATGCCACACTATGGCCCCCGATTTCATGGTATAGGCACCATGCTCCCTGGCACTCTAGCAGCCTGGCCAAGACAATTAGCCAGGTGGAATTTATAAAGAACACAATATGTCCTTTCCTACGTTTGCCTTACAGGAGCAAAAAGCAGATATTTCGGAAGATGTGGGACCTAACCTGTAAGGTGTGTCCAATGACAGTGCTCCTTGGTAATGGAGAAAAGCATCAGCACCCTTCTGGTGAGTGCAGACTGTGAACTAGCTACTGTTACAAACAGTGACTGTCTGAGACCTGGAAGAGCTGCCATCCTTCCGGAATCCATTCACTAGGTAGCTCTCAGCACCTCAGTTAAATGCCCCTAGAGGGGCACCCTCCTCTCCAGGTCTCATGGCACTTTGACACAAAGCGAGGCATACCACTCTCCAAAGACTCGACTTCACATTCACTAGGTGGCTGTGCCCGAATACCCAGGTCTGAGTGTCTACCCTGCACTTCCTTGCCATCCTGGGTGATGTCCATCCAAAGAACCAGTATGTTATGCAGGAACAGCCTCACTTCTCTGTAAGAGAACACTTCTTATTTTGCGGAGAGGGGTTTGGACCATACCGCTGGTGCTCAGGGGTCTGCATGCAGTGCTAAGTATTGAACTAGGATCAGTCACATACAAGGTAAGTGCCTCTTGCGGGGAGAGCGTGGGAAAACACCCAGCAATTATCAGGGCTCATCCCTGACTCTGTACTCAGGGATTGTTCCTGGTGGTGTTCAGGGGACCATCTGGGGTGCTGGGGATCAAACCCGGGTCGGGCTCATGCAACGCAAGCATCCTACTCACAGTACTATCATTCCAGCCCAAGGCAAGTACATTAACCCTCATTCCACTTCCCAGAAGCATGGCCACAAAATGGAATTTCATGTAGGCCCAACGGTTGGCAAACCAAAATTATCGTTCCAAAAGTTTTTAGTTTGAGTTGACTCTAAATTTTCAAAATTCCTATCTTTATTGCTTTTTCAAAGGAACACTTCATGGCCTGTGAGAGCTTCAAACCCACATGCTTGCCTGGATTGAGAAGATAAAAGCTAACTTGTATGAGACAGCAAGTCCTGAACTTTGCTAAGTAGCCCATAAGTAATCTTTGGAACCCCAGTTCCTGGGGCAGGGCATCAAGGCCATCCCGTTCTGGGATTCTCCTGCACAGGAATTCAGGACCAGTTGTCTAGCTCCTGTGACTGAATAATCCAATCACCAGGGATGAGCTTTAAAGTTAAGTCCTTCCACTGACACAAACCTCAGGAAAGTTTTTCTTTAGTTGAATTTGTCTCCCTGCAATTCCTACCTGTTGTCCAGACTGATTCTTTTCGGGATCCCAAATAAATCCTAATTTTCAGTCCTTCATGTATTTGAATTTAGCAAGATAGCTTTCCTATAGGATCAACATCCCAAGTCTTTCACTTGTTCCCCACCCAATCTGTTTTGTAATTCCCTCTTCTAACTTCTGTATGGAGACAGCTAGTTTTACTATCATTTTTCAGAAGAGCTGTCACCGAATTACATAACATGCAACTTAGGTCTAATCAGTATAAAGAATAGGACCATTATTCCTCTCCCTATGAAACGTTCTATTAATGTAGTCTACGGTCTCATAGATGCTTTTCAAATGACAGCACCCCACACCACTAACTCATACTAATTTACAGACAAAAACTGCCAGTGGAAAACCACCAGCATTGTTCTACTGTATAAGAAGGGAGACATCCACGACACTGGCAACTATTGCTCGGTCTGCCTGTTGTCTGTCATCTACAAGCTGTTTACTTGAGTCATCCTGAATAGGACTGGCAGAACACTAGAGGAAGAAAAACCATGCGAGCAAGCCGAGTTCCACAAAGGAATCAGCACGATTGACCATGTCCACACAATAACCAAGCTCATTGTGGTTTCTCGGGAGTTCATGATGCCGCTCTAACGTTCATTGATTTAAAGAAGGTCTTGGATTCTGTTGAGACTGAAGCAGTCATCGAAGCCCTAGCCAAACAGGGCGTTCAAACTCAATACATCAGGATCCTCCTCGAGCTATATTATGGATTCACTACCAGGATCTCACCATTCTACCAGGAAGTGATCATCCATGTCAAGAGAGGGGTTCGGCAGAGAGATACCATTTCACCAAAACTCTTCAGTGCCACCCTTGAGAATATCATGCAACGACTAGAATGGGAAGGAAGGGGAGTGAAGATAGACAGTCGACAACTACACCACCTTCGCTTCCCTGATGACATCGTTCTAATAACACCAAACATTAGTCAAGCAGCACAAATGCTGGCCGACTTCCACCGAGACTGTGGAAAGGTCAGACTACAGCTGAATCTCACAAAGACAATGTTTATGCGAAACAGACTCGTTCCTAACGTTCCATTCACTCTCAACAGAATGAACATCTTTGAATGCAACAGTTATGAGAACCTAGGTTGAGAACACAACATGATGAATGACCTGGCACCTGAGTTGCACAAGAGGAAGAGAGCAGCTTGGAACGCCTTCAAGAGCCTCTGTTCCTCTTGCATTAACATATGCCTCAGAGACCTGGGCTCTATGAAAACAGGATGAGAATGCTATTCGGGTCTCCCAAAGAGGAATCAAAAGAGCTAAGCTTGGAGTATCACGCTTCACTCAAGTTAGAGAAAGAATCTGGAGTTCCGATCTCCGTCAACGATCAAGAATCAGAGACGCTGTCTCATTTGCCAAGGCGTCGAAAATCTGATGAGCTGGACATGTAATGTGATTTGGAGACGACCGCTGGACTAGAGCCATTACCGACTGGATTCTGCGGCATGTCAAAAGATTGCATGGCCACCCACCTACGAGATGCTCAGATTTCTTCGTCAAGACCCTAAACGATTGGTCTGAGGTTCTTTGTGTTCGTGTAGCAAGTAGACGCCATTGGGCTACACTAGCACGTGACAGGGATGAATGGAGATGTTACTGGTATCCGCTTGAGCAAATTGATAAGTAACGGGATGTCAAGTGATCAAGTGATTACAAAATACTTACGGAGAAAGTATGTTAAGGGAAACAAATTGTTGAAGATTAGAGAAAAATCTCAGGATTTTAGTCAGTTGTCGATCTCCAAGGGAGTGTTGGCAGAATAAAAACGTTGGCCCTTTCTCTAACGGAATAACAGGTTCATCCTGACTTTCTAAATTTCTACATCTAACCCCAACGTTTTGGGGGGCCTGGGGGGGAGTGGGGAATAACCTCAGTGATACTCAGCAGTGCTCAGGGTTTATTCCTGGCTCTGTGCTCAGAGATCACTCCTGGCAAGGCTTGAGGGACCATATATGGGGATGAAACCCATGTTGGCAAGACAAGTGCCTGACCCACTGTACTATCTCTCCAGCCCTTAATTCATCACTGTACGAGTAACAGTTCCCCAATTGTCCATTATGATTAGGACTGCCAAAGAATGCATTCTATGGCAGCAATAGTATTAAAATAATTTTTTTGATTTGTATTTGTATTTATGCATATACATTAAAACATTAGCTGTATGAAAACTAATAGGTAAAGGTAAGGTAAAGGCCCTCCCGTTGTTCGTCGATTTGCTCGAGCGGGCCCAGTAACGTCTCCATTGGAGACTTTGTTGTTACTGTGTCTGGCATATCGAATACGTCACGGGGAGCTTGCCAGGCTCTGCCGTGCGGGCGAGATACTCTCAGTAGCTTGCCGGGCTCTCCGAGAGGGGCAGAGGAATCGAACTCGGGTCGGCCATCTTGGCTGCGTGCAAGGCAAATGCCCTACCGCTGTGCTATCACTCCAGCCCTGAATGAAAACTAATGTAATTGGAAAACTTTGGGGACATAAAACAGAACATACGAGAGTAATGCAGTCTTTCAGGACAAGCATTTCCCAAGATTATGACAGATCAAGTGATCAGAAATCTTTTTCAGTGGGGCAGCATCTGGGCAGAAACTGTACTAAGCATCCTTGGAATAAGGATAGAAATGAGGAGAACTGAGCCCTTATGCTCTTCCCAGGAAATATCTACCTGGTTGGCACACTTTCTAGCAGACTACTGTACTTAAAATCATGGTGCCGAATTCCAAAAGCAACCAGAGGTTTCAGTGGCCAAGAAAATCTCAGAGAAGGCCGAATACTTGTCACGTGTTTCCTAATTTTCTGAGAATAGTAAGCGCTGCTGGCAAATACCCACCAGCAGAGCACACAAAGAGAACAGATCACTGTCCACATATAGGCCATGACAAGCCCAGAATCAGCAGCATACCTGTTCCTCCACAGGGGTTTCTGCAGACGCACTACAGAGTCTCTGCAAAGAGTCCACAGCTGAGCTGATCAACTTGGGAGACCACTGGAATCTATTCAGCTTGCACTGGACAGTATCTAAAAAGGAAGTGAAGTTCAACTACCAGACAAGACATACAAAGTGCAAGGCAATGTTCTTTTCAGAAAGACTCTAACTTACAGACTCACCAGTCACCTTGCGCCGAATGCTCTTAGGAAGATGCTTTGCAATATGCCCGAGAACACACAGAACATGTCCCAGGGTGCTGGAATTGGGGTTCTTTTGACTAGAAAGATGGGAGAGGAAGTATCAATACTGAAACGAATCAAAGAGTGCTGCCAACCCGAGGCTTTTTTTTCTGGATGACCAAGATCAAGTGGGGTAGCATTAATACTGTAGGGAGCGTGGTAGCATTTACACTGGAGGGGGCAGAGTAGCATTAATGCTGCAGATGTAGAGCAGCCTTAACATGGAGGGGTGACATAGCATCAACAATGGAGGGGCAGGGTAACCTCAATCTTGAAATAGTCGGGAAGCGTGAAAAATGGAGAAAGCAGGGTAGCATGGGCATCAGAAAGAACAGCACCGGTACTGAAGGGAGCAGGAGCAGAGTAGCATCAGTACTGTAGGGAATAAGGTAGCATTAACGCTGGAGAGAAGGACAGCACTGGATTAGAAGTTAAACAACACTTTCCTTGGAGAAAGTGTAAATTTAAAGCTTCCAACTGATTCGTATTGTCCTGTGTGCCTTTAGGCCAGAACTGAAGAGAGCCCTGTGTATGTGCGTAGCTGTGGAAATCTTCATCCTGAAGACCCGAGTTGTCTCCAGAACTCTCACGCCGACCTGTGGCTCAATTACAAGGATCCACACACCTGCTCATTATCTCCCAGGACTCAATTATTTTGGTGTAGTCTAGCTTGGGCGCAGAGTAAGTGATTCTGGAGAGCAACATCCAGGCAGGTGCTGCATGCTCTGTACCAGTGTGTGATACCACATTGTTGATGTAAGTGGTTGAGAATTTATCCTTCTTGTACCAGATATTAAAGGCTTTCTTCAAATAGTGGCTGGAAGAAAGAGGAGAAAGCATAGTCAATAGTATAAATGGACAAGGCCATGCTGATCCAGCCCTTAGTAGGTCTATGTTGCTTTGGTTTCTCCCTTTGATCCACTGCTGCCTCTGAGCATGTGGGCTAGTTAGGTGTCTTTGACTTGTATTCTGTCGTCTAGCTTCTTAAACTGTGGTCACAACCCCACTCCACATAATAATTGAATGTGGGGATTTTTTGCATGGGAACCCCAGGTCACATCCCTGGCACCACAAGGTCCTGCTGGGAATAACCCAAAAAACAAAACAAAACAGGGGCCGGAAAGATAGTAGAGCGGGTAGGGAGCTTGCCTTGCATGTGGCCCACCTGGGTTTGATCCTCACCTCCCATATGGTCCCCTGAACTGCTAGGAATAATTTCTGAGTGCAGAGTCAAGAGTAAACCCTGAGCATTGCTGGATGCCATGCCCTGCCCCTCCCCCCCACTCTTCGTGAAAAAATAAAAACAGAATAACAAAACCCAATGACATCAACCAAGAGTAAAAAGTCATGGGGCTATCAGGGATGTGGCTCATGCATTAAGGGAAAGTCATTAGACCTGAGCTCAATCCTAGAGATGCAAAAAAATTAAAGAACCCCACAAAACAACCAAGAACAAACAAAACAACATTAAGTAGAAGATATTTTACAATATGAATGACAGTATCTTTTATATATACTCTATAATTAATCCTCTCAATGAAAAATGCAAAGAAGCAACAACCTGACTTGAAAAAAAACAGGGCTAAAATTTAGCCTTTTTTTCCTTGTACACTCTTTGTAACGTGCACTGTTTAGTTCATTGCTGCTCTGCTCTTGATGGCATTCTGACATAACATGCTGTTTATTTCAAATTAGTCTTAAGCAAATGTTTTGTAGCACTGTAGCACTGTCTATAGCACTGTCATCCTGTTGTACATTGATTTGCTCGAGTGGGCACCAGTAACGTCTCCATTGTGAGACTTGTTGCTGTTTTTGGCATATCGAATACGCCATGGGGAGCTTGCCAGGCTCTGCCGTGCGGGCGGGATACTCTCGGTAGCTGCTGGGCAATCCGAGAGGGATGGAGGAATCGAACCCGGGTAGGCTGCATGCAAGGCGAATGCCCTACCCGCTGTGTTATGGCTCCAGAGATATTTTGTATCCTAAAAAATTGTGTAATAATGGATTAAATGAAAGCAAAACAAAACAGAATAATACAGTAGGGGGCTGGAGTCATAGAACAGCAGGTAGACATTTGCTTTGCACAGGGCTGAATACCATTTCAAATCCCTGCATCCCAAGTGCTACCAGGAGTAATTCCTGAGTGCAGATCCAGGATTAAGTCCTGAACATTGCCAGGTGTTGTCTTCCCTCTTCTCCCCTGTTGGACAACATTGGTTTGTCCTTGCTTCTCCTGCACAGAGCTTTGGTTTATTGAATTACCCCCACCACAGTGCTCTCAAAGCACACCCAATTTCATCAGGCACTCCTAATCTTATATTGCTTTTCTCTTTCCTTTATGTCCTTTGCATGGTTTTAGGAATGTCCAGAACAGTTGATGCTATGCTTCTGTAATATGGGAGTTAATTGACTGAATTAATATTTACTTCTGGGCATCCATCAAATTTACTTAAGTCTCAATTGCTTTTACTTCCTAACACCCCCAAAAGGAGGGTCTTGGTGAGGGACGTGGATGGAACTAGGGCAAGCTATAAGCTACCCTGGCATTAAAAAGGGACAGGCTAAGTGCCATACGAAGTAAGAGCACGGTCATGGAACCCTGCTGGGTTTAGGAAAGACTAACCTGGCCTGAGGACTACAGTCTGGGATATACGGCAAGATGCTGCCAGAAGAACCACTATTTAAGCTTAATATATCTTTTACTGTGTTCATACAAAATGACTAGAAATAGCAGTAAGAAGCAAATTTAATATGTTTCAATGGTACTAGCTAAGGAAAGGAGAAAGCAATACACCCTTAGATGGAATCCCACTCTTGAGCAGATCTCCTAGTAATCTAGAGTAATCAGAGTGCTGAATCCCGTGATGAGACTTTTTTCCTGAGTCAACTTCCTAAAGGAGGGGCTTTACAACTGTTTATCGTTATGATAATATTCAACCACACCTATGTGTACCTCTACCCTTCACGATTTCTGTATAACCAACAATTTCTATACAACTAAGGCTGTGAGACTTAAATGAACACACTGATTTCCAAGCAGCCTGGGGCTCCATTCCCCTTGTTCCTTGTTCCTTCGTCAATCATGATCAGCCAGCCTAGGGGAACAGTTCTCAGCCACCTTCTCAGTCACTGAACAAACTCACATTTGAACTCACACCCCCCACCCAGAAGAACAAAAACAAAACATAATTAAACAAACCCCAAAACATCAAAATCAAAACAAAACAACCCAAGAGACCAGCACATAGTCACATAATTCACAAATGTGAACAACCTGACACTAATCCATATCCATTAACAAAAAATCCATTAATAAAAATTAATAATCCTGGGGCTGGAGCAATAGCGCAGAGGGTAGGGCATTTGCCTTGCACGTGGCCTATCCAGGTTTGATCCCCAGTCCCATAAGGTCCCCTGAGCACCGCCAGGAGTGATTCCTGAGTTCAGAGCAAGGAGTAACCCCTGCCGGTGCATCACCACGTGTGGCCCAAAAAGCGAAAAAAAAAAAAAAAAAACCCCAAAAAATCCATTAATAAAGAGAGAAAGAGAAAGATAAGGCAGTCAAGGCAACATAAAATCAAACTACAAGATACTGAAATATAGATAAAATTTATCATTGCAGCGGGTGAGAGACAGTGCAGTAAATATGGTACCTGCCTTCCACATAGCCGACTAGGGTTGAATTCCTGGCAACCCTTATTGCTCCCCCCATGCACCACCAGGACTAATTCCTGAGAGCAGAGCCAGGAGTAAATCCTGAGCATTGCTGGGTGTAGCCCAAAATTAGACCAAAACAAAACAAATTTATCACTGTAGGAACTAACTCACCACAACTTTTAATATAGAGGCTGTGTTCAAATCAGTGTTTCAAATAGAACAAAAACCAAAATGCTGCAGTATTTAGTAAACCAATCCAATAAAATGTTAGAAAAACAAGTAGGATGTCATCTTTCCTATTAATTATTACTGACCAAAGTAAGATACCATATCAATCAATGACTTCTACTCTTAGGGGTGCATTAATTTATAATTGTAGAACTCAGAAGAAAACAAAGGACGTGATCAAAGGCCATCATTAAAAAAAAATCACTACACAAATGTTAAAGATATTTGAATTAGGAAAGAAAAAGAAAGATAAAAATCTAGATTTTACATATACCAATGTAGAATGCAGATGTTCCAAGATATTTATGAAATTTATTAATAAAGCTCTATGGCCTTTTCTATAAGGAAAACAAGTCATAAGTAACGTACTTCAATTCCAGGCTATCTGTGCTGAGCAGAGAAAGAAGTGCCCAGGCGAGCACCTGGCTGTCATCTCCATCATGATATTTATTGTAATGCTTAATGTTCTGTAGCAGGAGCTGATCCAAGCATTCCAGGGCCTTCTCTTGCACTGTGTTCTCACAATCCATGACAACAGGAATGATCCCCAGGAGCCAGGCTTTCTGAACCTGAACACATTTAGGTTGGGCCTGAAATGTTAAAAATGAATAAGTTATAAAGAAGTCCAACACTAGGAGAAACGTAAGTCCAAATCAGTTATTGGCAGCTGTGATCAATTTTTGAGACATGTTAAAAAGTTGCATACGTGATTACAAGTAAACCATGAAAACAAAAAACATCAACATTCAAGCATGCATGAAAACAAACACGAAGTAAGTGTCAGGTCTTGGGTTTGATTCCTAGCACCACACACACACACACACACACACACACTAAAAACCAAATACATACACACAATCTGTATAAACAAAGTTCAATCTTCAGTTACTAAGACTTAGTACATACTAAACTATACAACTTTTAGAAGTTGGGGGCTGGAGAGATAGCACAGCAGGTAGGGCGTTTGCCTTGCAAGTGAGTTCAACTCCCAGCATCCCATATAGGTCCCCTGAGCACCGCGAGGAATAACTCCAGAGTGCAGAGCCAGGAGTAACCCTTGTGCATCGCTGGGTGTGACCCAAAAAGAAAAAAAAAACTTTTAAAAGTTATTGTTTTACTATTTGTAATAAATTAGCACTTTCTAGCAATTCAAGATCAGAACTAATAATACATATTTTCCCTAAGAAGCATCAGAATATGTGTTGACAGAGAAAATAGAAATATGCATTGCTCTATTAAAAACAAATAAGCAGTTTAAAATTGCTCCAAAATTTAAATTGCAGAGTAAAAGTATCTTTTGCATTAGTGTATCTGATCTTTTGCCTTAATAGTGAGATGGTGACCTAGGCCTCTGGCCTAAATAACTTTTTTTTTTCCTTGCTTTTTGGGTCACACCCAGCAATGCTCAGGGGTTACTCCTGGCTCTGCACTCAGGAATTACTCCTGGCGGTGCTTGGGGGACCATATGAGATGCCAGGGATTGAACCTGGGTTGGCTGTGTGCAAGGCAAATGCCCTACCCGCTGTACTATCGCTCCGGCCCCTGGCCTAAATAGCACTGTAGCACTGTCCTCCCCGTGTTCATAGATTCGCTCGAGCGGGCCCAGTAACGTCTCCATTGTGAGTCTTGTTGTTACTGTGTTTGGCATATTGAATATGTCATGGGTAGCTTGCCAGGCTTTGCCGTGTGGGCAAGATACTCTCGGTAGCTTGCCGGGCTCTCCAGGAGGGGCGGAGGACTTGAACTCAGGTCAGCCAACTTGGCTGCGTGCAAGGCAAATGCCCTACCGCTGTGATATAATTTTAAAAAAAATTTCTATCTCTGAGATTCAAACTGTAGATATTTAATTTGAAATGTGGCCTACCTTATGCAGTTGGAAGATACCTCTTCCTTTCTTTTGCACTGTCATCCTAAAGATGACTCAGAGTTTTTAAATACAGAATTCAACACTCAGCCACAGATTACCAGAGTGTGAACTGTTTTTCTGTCAAGTATCTACATTACAAACATAATGTGATGCCTCTTACCACAAGAAGTTCAGTAAGGGAATGTAAAGCCTGCTTCCGGACAGATACTGCAGGGTCCCGACACCGGTCACGAAGAATTAGTAGGTCCTCATTAATGTCTGCAACATTACAGTGTTTCAGAACACTCACCAAGACCTGGAAGACACAGACATAGTATGACCAGATGAACCATGCACAGTATAAAGACAAAAGGAGATGAGATGGATAGTTTTCTAGAGGATAGTTTTCTTTAAATTGGTGGTTCTTCACATTTTTGAAGTCACAGATCCATCCGTTCCCTAGTAACGTACAACTTTTTACAATCTAAGGCCTTTCTTTGGAGAAAAATCTGATGTATCACTGATATGATCAAGATTTACAATATTCTTAAAAAATTTACTTATTACTTTAGGCATCATGATTTATGAAGCTTTTAGTAACAGTTTTGGGCACTCAATGTTCTATACCTTGAAATCAGTGTCAGTGTCCACCAATTATTATTATTCTATTATGTTAATTATAATTGAAGGCTCAAGGTTCACTCCCTCTTCCCATCCTACCTTCTACAAACTCATTTTCCCCTTGATTTACCTATTATAGTTTAAGCCATATGCTTACAACAGTGTTGATTCATGATTTTGATGTAGATACATCTTCAATTTCAAGGATTTCTTGAACACTAGTAAAGTCAGTTGGGGCTAGAGCAATAGCACAGCATTTGCCTTGCACGTAGCCAGCCCGGCAGAGCCTGGTTCGATTCCTCTGCCCCTCTCGGAGAGCCTGGCAAGCTGTTGAGAGTATCTTACCCGCACAGCAAAGCCTGGCAAGCTACCCGTGACATATTCAATACACCAAACACAGTAACAACAAGTCTCACGATGGAGACGTTACTGGGCCCGCTCGAGCAAATTGATGAACGGGAGGACAGTGCTACAGTAAAGTCAGTCCATGAATTCCTATTCTAAGAATTCTTATTCTAGTTTTGAAGGATTCAGAATGACTGCTGATCAAGCAAAAGGCTGGTTCGATCCCTGCTTTGGCATGATTCCCTGAGCATTTATCAAGATTAATTCTTGATAAATTCTTTGGGACCAGATAAGGCCCGTAAACAAAATGAATGAATTTTTTTTCTTTCTTTTTTTGCTTTTTGGGGTCACACCCGGCGATACACAGGGGTTACTCCTCGCACATGCACTCAGGAATTACACCTGGCAGTGCTCAGGGGACCATATGGAATACTGGGAATTGAACCCATACCAGCCGCATGCAAGGCAAATGCCCTGTCCACTGTACTATATTGCTCCAGCCCCAACAAATTTTTTTTCTTAAAAAAAAAAAAATCAAGGATACAAACCTGTGATGCTTTAAAAAACAAACAAAAAAAAGCAACTCAGTAGAACACTTAAAACAAGAAGCCCTTCAATCTTCAATTCACTTATATTATTCATCTATATATAACTAGACACATATCTCAACTAATATTAACTAAAAAGCAAAATAATTAATCCAGTCAAAATTTTAAAAGTATTTAAGTGTTTACCAAAAGTTTATTAAAATAACTGCATACCTGGAGCGCAGACTTCCTAACATTGGTCTTCTCATCCCTGACTCGCTTTCTCAGCATTGCCATGACATTCCTTTCTGTGAAGGAAATATCAAAGAACAGCCATGATTGGAGAAAGACTAGACAGTACATAGCAGGGTATAAAATAGTGTGTAAAAAGAAAATGAACTCAAAACTTATAAACAATAATAAAAATGGCAGAACAGAATTATTTAAAAAGGGCAGAATTCTGGATTCTTAAAAATCAATTTTAATTTCCAGCTCCTGTGGCATAGAACTTTGAATGACTATTTAGTACGTAACTGCAAAAAAGAACATCTAACTCATTCTTTCCCAGAGTAGGCCATATGGTCCACCCTGGGTTGTTGGGTAGGTGGTATGTGCTAGAATTACTGGGGTGGGGGGTGGGGGAAATGGTGGTAGCTTCAGGAGTAACTAGGGAGGTGCTTTCTGTATACTTCAAGAAGGCGGATTTCCAGGGGTCTAGGAAATTTTTCTTCACGAAAAGGAGGCAATAGGAAGCCTCTAGTCTAATCCTTAGAATTGTATTTGTTTGTTTTTAGTTTTGATTTTTTCAGGCAAAATGTCCAACTTCAAACCTACCATCAGTGTCAGTGTTTTACCATCAATGGCCCAAGGTTCCCTCACCCCCTACCAGGCCCCCCTAGCAAACACATCAAAAACATTTTTATTATACTTTGGGTCTCCCGCTTACAACAGTGTGATTCTTACGGTTCTGATGTACCAGTTACCTCCATAGCACCAAAGTGTCCAAGACCCTTGACCTTACATTACTACCAGTCCAACTCCTCATTGCTCACTGCCATCATCCTCTTTCTTGGCATTCTTATTTCTGTAATCCAGGGCCAAGGTAACCCTTAGAGTATTTTAAAAATGAACTAAGACATATTAAAGCAGCTTTAAAAATGTCAATTATATACCCCTTTGCATATCAAATATTGTTGAGGAGACCTAAAAGCTTTTATATGCGGATTTTATCTTTTTGTCAATATAACTTAAACTGAGAGGGGCTGTAGCGATAGTACAGTGGGTAGGGCATTTGCCTAGCCTGCAGCCGACCTGGATTCAATCCTCAGCATCCCATATGGTCCCCTGAGCACTGCAAGGAGTGATTACTGAGTGCAAAGCCAGGAGTAACCCCTGTGCATCGCCGGGTGTGACCCAAAAAGAAAAAAAAAAACCTTAAACTGAGAACTGTAAAAATATTTAATCATTCACTTTGTTTTCTTTTAGATTTCTTTATAACTCAAAGAGCTTCATTTCTTATATAGTTTTCTGACTCTGCTGTCCCTTCACTGTAATTTTGTGCTCTCACAATAATTTTCTGCTCCTTTGTAAGAAAAGTTGATGTGACCATGCCATGGAAACACTGAGCATGCAGGGACCCATGGGCCTTGCTGACATGGTATTCGTCCTGGAGCTTCACACAACATCAGCTTTTGTAACAGGAACTCCGACGACTCTGCTGGACACATGCCATCCGCAGACTCTGTTGTTTTCCCAATCTTCCTGGGCTCAAGGTAAATACTACTGTTGTCAGGGTTTCTGGATGGTCGATGACAGTATGTTAGATGCCAGGCCATTGTAAATGCTCTGTACACCATCTCAGAAGAGAGTATCATTCACTTTAATGTAGGAAGGTCACTATAAGCAGCCTAAAGGAAAAATACATATTTGCACTGAAGGGACAGTCCAGTGATTAAGGCACTTGTCTTGCAGACTAACGACCTTGGTTTGAATCCCTAAAGTCATATACATCGCCCCCCCATCAGAGTACTACTAAGGGTCACTCCTGAACAGCATCAGGAATAGCCAGGAAACACCACCGGGGAGTATATTTAACTGCCCCCACTGTCCCCGCCTCTCCCCAAAGAACCTCTGTGCCTCATCTAAGAGCATATTCTCAGTGGGCACATCTGCAAGCACTGAATTAAAGCAGCACAACCTTCAGTGAGCACTGTGGTGAAGCGAGTGAGTACTGTAGTCTCAGCTGTGATGACCACTATGGCCAGGCATGTATACAACACCTGGACAGCAGGACAATAACACTAAGGAGAGAGAGAGAGAGGGAGAGAGAGAGACAGAGAGAGAGAGAGAGAGAGAGAGAGAGTGTGTGTGTGTCAGGCGGGGATGGGAGGGGGACACAAACTGGAATGCACAGCTAGATTCTTTGCTTTTTCTGCCTTTGAATCTTACAAAGTTAATGGATATGGGACCATCGCAAAATCTCAATTTACTTTTGTGAGAAATGAGAGCAGATGTATAGTAAAAGTGTTTTGACAGAGAAGGATTTTTTGTTTGTATTTGGGAGACCACACCAAGCTGTGCTCAGGGCTTACTCCTGGCTCTGCGCTCTAGGATCACTTTTGGTGGGCTTGGGGGACCATAAGTGAGCCTGGGAATAGAACCAGGTTGGCCGTATGTGAGGCAAACACGCTACCCACTATACTACTGCTCCAGTCCCAGATTTCTTTTTAACCAAGCAAATGCATGGAAAGTTCTTTTCTTTTCTTTCTTTTTTTTTTTTTTTTTTGCTTTTTGGGTCACACCTGGCGATGCACAGGGGTTATCCTGGCTCTGCACTCAGGAATTACTCCTGGCGGTGCTTGGGGGACCATATGGGATGCTGGGGATTGAACCTGGGTCGGCTGCATGCAAGGCAAACGCCCTACCCGCTGTGCTATTGCTCCAGCCCTGAAAAGTTCATTTTAATTTGTAAAGGACCTTCACAATTCCCAAACCTTGTCTGTGAAGTTAGCAATTTTGTGGTAATTCCGTCATAGAACTCAAATAGACTGGAGTACTGAGCAGAGGGATTTGGCAGTTATATCACAGCCACAGCAGTTTCCCAAAGGAAATTCACCAAAATACCCCAAGGAGCGATAGCACAGCGGTAGGGCGTTTGCCTTGCACACAGCCAACATGGCCGACCCGAGTTCGATTGTTCCGCCCCTCTCGGAGAGCCCGGCAAGCTACTGAGAGTATCTCGCCTGCATGGCAGAGCCTGGCAAGCTCCCCATGACGTATTCGATATGCCAAACACAGTAACAACAAAGTCTCCAATGGAGACGTTACTGGGCCCGCTCGAGCAAATCGACGAACAACGGGAGGGCCTTTACCTTTACCTTTACCCCAAGGCACTGTAAGTCTGATCATTACACTTTTATAAAGCCACAAAAGCTGATAAAATAGCTTAAATTGATGTCTGTTTTGATGGGGGGGAGAATACTTATAGGGAGGCAACGGTGCTCTGCTCTTACTCCTGGTTCTATATTCAGGAATCACTTCTGCTAGCATTTTTGAATGTTGGGGATCGAACCCAGGTGGGCCATGTGCAAGGCAAGCACCCTAACAACTGTACTGATCCATAAAACTGATGTCTTGAAATTCAAACTTTGCTTATTATTGACTGTAATCAACTCAAATTTGATCAAGGCCAAAACTGTAAGAGCTGCTGGGGCCAGAGGAATATTATAGCAGGGAAGATGCTGGCCTTACACACTGGTCTACCTGGGTTCAATTCCCAGAACCACACATGGTTCCCTGAATCCCGCCAGGAATGATCCGTAAGTGTGGAACCAGGAGTAAGCCCTGGCACCTCTGGGTGTGGTCCCAAACAAACAAACAAACAAACAACAGCCTCCCAATTTCACTTACGATTTTACACGTCACAGAAAATGATAAAATGCACACGTTTACTAATAGCACTGTAGCACTGTCCTCCCGTTGTTCACTGATTTGCTCGAGCGGGCACCAGTAACGTCTCCATTGTGAGACTTGCTGTTACTGTTTTTGGCATATCGAATACACCGCGGGTATATTCCAGAGCTTCCCAGGCTCTGCCATGTGGGCAGGATACTCTCGGCAGCTTGGCGGGCTCTCCAAGATGGATGGAGGAATTGAACCCGGGTTGGCCGCGTGCAAGACAAACGCCCTACTTGCTGTGCTATTACTCCAGCCCAAGTGCAGTGCTACGTTTACTAATAAAGATAAAAACCCATTAAAAATAGGGGCCAGAACTAAAGTACAGTGGGTAGATGTTTGCTTTGCATATGGCCAAGCCAAATTTGATCTCTCGTACCACATATGGTCCCCTAAGCCTTGCCAGAAGTGACTCTGAGCATCAGAGTCAGCCCTGAGCACAGCCTGGTGTGGCCCCAAAGCCCAATCCATTAAAAATCAAAATGAATAAGCAAAAAGTAATGGGCAAAGAATTCAAATAGACATTTCTCCAAAGATGTAAGAAATGGCAACTGACACATGAAATTCGCTGTGGCAGGGGGTGGGAGGGGCCACCCTGCAAACATGAAATAGCAAGCCAACACCCAGCACTGCTGCTGTGACTGGGCATGAACCACCATCACTGCTGCTCGAGGCACCACAAAATGCGCCGTCTCCAATGCACTGCATGTGGGCTCACACACAGGTATGTGAGCACTGTGACTATGATGTGACCCCACCAGCCCACTGTGGGCACAGCAACTAAGTGTTGGTGACCTCCAGTTGTTGGAACTACAAAGGAAGAGAAGGGGGACTTAAGAAACTTTTTAAATGAACATCAGTCAATAGGCAGAGAAATGTAAATTGGAATCACGACGAGACCCTGCTTCATAGGCAGTCGGATGGCTAGAAGAAACAGAGAGAATGAGGGTAAGATATGCAGACATGCTGGTGAGACTGAAAAAAAAATGGGGCCCACTTTTGAAAATAGTTGTCAGCTCCTCAAAATGTTACGCAAAGTATTACCACATGACCCAGTAGTTCCATTCAGGTACAAATCCAAGAGAAATAGAAACATTTTTATACAAAACTTGTATAAGAATGTTTGCAGTAGCACTATTTGCAATAACAAAAGATAAAAATACTTCAAATGCCCAACAATGGATACAGTAATATGCAAAATGCAGTCTGTCCATACGAAAGACCAATACTGTACCATAACAAAACGAAGAACTGATGCATGTAGAACATAGATGGGCCTGGAAACTATGGGGTGAAAGAAATCATCCATGAGGAGCCAGAGCAATAGTATATGGCAGGGTGCTTGCCTTGCACGTGACTGATGCCCGGCACCCCATATGGTCCTCCAAGCTGGCCAGGAGTGATCTCTGTGCACGGCCGGGTCCCAAAATAAAAGCAAAACAGACGTCACCCAGTCAGACGCATGAATGATAAGCTTCCAGGGTGACCAGAATAGGCTGCTGCACAGCAGGAAACAAGCAGTGCTGACAGAGGACAGGGGAGGGGAGGGACTGCTAATGGACACAGGGTTTCTTTTACAGCTGAAGAAAATGTTCTGGAATTAGATCACATGCTTTTATGGGCATACTGAAAACCAGTGAATCTTATACTTTAAGTGGCAACAAAACAATCAAAAAACTACTTAGCACACATAATGTCCGACTTGCAAAAACCACGCAATTTTTTTTATATAATTAATGCCAATAATACAAATCATCTTAAGCAAAATTAAGATGGGAACATGCGCCTTTTACATTTGGGCAACTTTTATAATTTGGAAGCATCATTAAATCAATACAACTGGTTACTGTTTGAGAGTCTATGCAACAGCAAATCTGTACTTAGCTAAAACCACAATCAACAGAAACATTTAATACTTTTCCAGTGTAAATTCCATTACAATACTTTTAGGGAATCTGTATATCTATATATATATATATGCATGTGTATATATAATTATTGCTCTCTCTCTCTATAACGCATCTAGAGATATATATGATCTATATCACGGTCACGGTCCTCCCGTTGTTCATTGATTTGCTCCAGCGGGCCCAGTAACATCTCCATCATGAGACTTGTTGTTACTGTGTTTGGCATATCGAATACGTCACGGGGAGCTTGCCAGGCTCTGCCGTGTGGGCGAGATACTCTCGGTAGCTTGCCGGGCTCTCCGAGAGGGGCGGAGGAATTGAACTCAGGTCGGCCATGTTGGCTGCTTGTAAGGCAAACGCCCTACCACTGTGCTATCGCTCCAGCCCATGATCTATATAATGTATATATATTGTTATTTGAATCAGACATGATTTCTAGCCACATAAACCTAATCCTATGCTGATCTTACTAAGGTTGAAATAAGTACTTAACATCATTGCAAACAATGACTTTACAAACACATTAGTACTCAATCTCAGAATTATTAATTATAAATGCATGCAATATTTACAAACTAATGTAGCTATCACAACTATGAATTATTAAAGTCAATACAATATTTAACACAAATCAGGGATGTTCATAAATGTATATAAATGTGCACACAATAAACCTACATTATTAATCCATTATATACATATTTCTTTTTTCCTCTTTCTCGTATGTCAGTCTATGTATATATCTATATGAGCATCTTTTAAAAGCACTCTTTTGCTTTTTGGTTTTAGGCCAAATTTGATAATGCTCTGGGCTTACCCCTGGCTCTGAGCTCAGGGTTCACTTCTGGCAGTCTTGGGGAACCATATGGGATATTGGGGATAGAACCCAGGTCAGCCTCATAAAAGGCAAATGCCCTACCCACTGTACCATCACTCCGGCACCTAAAATTGGCTTACTCCTGGCTCAGCTCAGGGGACCACATGGCGCACCAGGGATGGTACCCTGGTCAGCCACCTGCAAAACTAGCACCCAACCTGCTGTACTATCTCTCCAGCGTCTAAAATTACATCTTTAGAAAACCTTTCCATGAACAGTATGGGAAGTCTTCAGAAAACTTAGATTTGCACTGCCCTATGACCTAGCAATTCCACTTTGGGGTATCTACCCTGGACTTAAAAACATTCATTCAAAAGGTTGTATGCATGTCATTGTTCATTGCTGCACTTAGTTTAGATATGGAAACAACCATATCTCAGGTGCAAGGGGGAGACATTTTCTATTTGTTTACTTAAAGAAGGCAGATTTCCCAGGGCCAGAGAGACAATGGGCTGGAACACATGCTTTGCACACTATTGTCCAGGTTTGATTTTTGGCACCACAACAGTCTCCTGAGCATCGAGCTGGAATTAGACCTCGAGTAATGTCAGTTGTGATCCAAAAACAAAAACAAAACAAAACAAAACAAAACAAGAAGGCAGATTTCCAAGGCAGCACTAAATGACTGTTTTCCTGAAAAAGGGCAATAAGCCAAATCATTTTGAGAAACTGCTATTGATAAAAACTCAGCAGAGGGAAGGAGAGTGACTTTCTGAGGGCTGCACAGCTAAGACAAAAATCTGTGAGTTGATTCAAGCTCTACTACCTAGTTCAGACTTGTTTCCTCCCCCCTCAATCACTTTGACATTTGAATCACCTTAGATTATTCTGGGTTTGATAAGGTCAGAACCCTGCACTGGACTCCATGGGAAAGAGTATCTTATAATCACCCCAATGGTTTATACTGCTTGTGAAGAGAAGTTAGAGTCTAAATTCTAGGGGCTGGAGCGATAGCACAGTAGGTAGGGTGTTTGCCTTGCATGCAGCTGACCCGGGTTCGATTCCCAGCATCCCATATTGTCCCTGGAGCACCACCAGGAGTAATTCCAGAGTGCATGAGTCAGGAGTAACCCCAGTGCATCGCTGGGTGTGACCCAAAATGCAATAAATAAATAAATAAATAAATAAATTCTACAGTCTTTTTTTGATGGAAGTTTCAACTCAATTCTACACCATAAATAGAGGTGGAATCTGGTATGGTTTAATCAGTCATCGGCTGACATAAAGAAAAAAGGAGGAATTAAAAACAAGAAAAAACAAAACAAAATACAAGAAAAAAAACACCAAAAATTCTTTATGCCCTCCACCCCCTTTTTTGTGGTGACTTTCCTCTAAACAGTAGGTCCTTATTTAGGAGGCAGTCCCAAGTGCTACAACTGACTTTAAAAAGGATATAAAATATTTGCTAATACACTGTTAAGCTTCACAGAAGTATTGGAGTTCAGTACTTGCTAAGTGGAATATAGCTCAGCTATCTTTAAAGTAAAATATTTTGTAGTGCAAGGACATAAAGATATTCTGAAAGAAATTACTAAATAGGAAAAAAAATTAGAATAATTAAGGGTTAATTGACCAGAAACAAAGGGGCAAGATTTTTAGTTTCTACTTACAGTTGTCTGGAATCCAACATAATTATTAATTTAATAGTGATGAAATTGGACATACCCCCAAGTATAGCTGCTTCACTGCAATCCTCTAGGCTCATCACGCCTGAGCCTCTGGAAGGGTGAAGTGCCTCCTTCTGACAGGATGCTTTAAAATACAAATTAAATAAATGAATACATTATTTAGTAAATAAAATACACGCCTTCAGTCATGCAGACAAAAGTATGTTCTACCTTTTAAAAATATAAGCATAGCATATTTAAGTAACAGTATATTGCTAGTGAAATAAACTTGATCTGATGAAGAAAAAAATGGTACAGTATTAAAACTGATGAATGTGGAATTTTTTGTTTGTTTGTTTTTATAAATATTCACCAAGTCTTTTCACTTAAAAAGTTTAATATTTGAAAATATGCTGACCTGACAAATCTCTCAATAAGGCACCAGTCTCTGTCCCTGAAGCTGAGGAATCTGAAAAGAAACAGACAAGTAAGATGGGGAAAGTCTGCTATCAAGAACCCTAAGTAAATACCCACAGAGAAATAAACCAAGATAAGCAGACCTAAGTGAAAACCAGGCAGATTTTAAATTACTGACAATGAACAGTGTTCTCCCAGAGTATGTATTTAAATGGGCTTTAAGCCCAATGTAGACAATACTCAACAATGCAAAGCAGTCACAAAAACAGGCCTCAATCTTACCTCTAAACTTTGAGTATCTAAAGTACTTAAGAACTAGAGTAATAGAGAGTTTCCTTTGCAGGCTCTGACCAGGGTTTGATTCCCAGCACTACATATGAACCCCCGAGCCCTGCCAAGAATTATCCCTGAGCTAGGAGTAAACTCTGAGCACTGCTGAGTGTGGCCCCAAATAATATAAAACAAATTAGAAAAAGGGTCTTTCAAATATATCACGCTTGACTATTTTAAAAGATATTAAAAGTAAAATACACTAAAATAATTCAATTCCTCAACAAGTATAAGATACGCTCTGTTCCAGAGTGGTCACCTTACTTACTACTAATTAGAAGTTCCAGTATACTCTCCGAGGCGGTGGTGATAGACATCTCCAGGCAATGGGCAAAACTGGACAAGGCCTTGCTTCGGACAGTTGGTGCCTTGTCTAGACAGCGATCAAACATGATTTCCTGCACCAAGAACTTATGGTTCAAGAACTTCTGTTGCTCCAAGGACAGAGTGTTATCCACTTCTCTTTCAGGTAGCTCTAAGATAGCCAGAGCAACATCCAGAGTAAAAATCCTGTGTTGCACCTGGCAAAGCAAAATAATAAGAACTGGCATGAGACTAGAAGAAACCCTGAAGGAGTCCCTCTCATAGATTCAACTGTGACATCCAGAGAAAGTTGCTAAGCCAGGAACCAAGACTTCATCTAGCTGTTTCTCCTACCTTGTTGCTTCGTGAGTATCTATACAGCCAGGTGACAAAACTGGCATATTCCCCAGAAGGAAGTTTGTGGAGCAGTTGAACCAGAGACTGAGCTGCATGGGTCCGGTGGTCTGATTTATCTATCACCTGGAAATACAGTGAGACACTATGCAATCAACATTCATCTGCAGGACTAATAAGATGCATGGTGCAAGGCAGGTGTGAAATGAGTGCATTTAGTTCAGTGATCTTTAAATGGTATGGAAAGGACTGGCCAATTTTAGGTTTTAGGTTTCTTTTTGTTGTTGTTATTTTTTGTCACACCCACTGGTGCTCAGGGCTTATTTCTGGCTCTGCACTCACGAATCATTCCTGATGGGGATTGGGGTGCCATCTGGGGTGTCTGGGATTGAACCCGGGCAGCTGCAAGGTAAGTGCCCTACCTCCTGTGCTACTGCTCTGACCCAGGTTGAAACATGAATGTCCCTTTGAAAACTAACCTAGGAAAAGAATCCCAAGTCCTCTCTACAGAAATATGAATTAGCAGGTAATTTCAGGGAGTTTATAGACACCCCATCCCCCCCACACCCCACAGGACGCATAGGATTCAAATTAAAATGATCTATTTAGAAGACTGAAAGATAGCACACCGAGTGGGGCACTTTCCCTATCTGTGGCCAGGGTCCCATACTGTCCCCTGAGCCTGCCAGGATTGATCCCTTAGCAGAGCCAGGAATAAGGTCTTACACAGCTGGGTGTGGCCAAAAATATGCAAAAAGTCAAAATCATCTATTCAGGAACTGGAGATATGGCTCAAATGACGGCATAAGCCTGTGTGTGAGGTCCTAGAACCACCATCTGTCACATCCCCCAACCACTGAGTGTGGCTCCCTCTGCTCAAAAATAAACAAAAATCATTTGTTCAAAGTGTTAAAGAAATAATCATGAAAATTAGAATGTTGACAACATGAAGAATTACTGTATTTTTGTTAAGTGTTCTAATATTTTGTGGCTATGTTATTATTATTGTTATTATTATTAGGTTTTGACTGCCATATTGGAGGCTCTTTCAGGGTCAGGGGAATGAGGCCCGTTATTGTTACTGTTTTTGGCAGCACCGGGAAGGACAAGTAAGGAGAGGCTGCTAAAATCTCAGGATTGGGACGTTACTGGCACCCGCTTGAGGAAATCGATGAACAACAGGATGACAGTGATACAGTGACTATTAGCTCCGCGCTCTCCTAATGGGGATGCCCCTGTGGTGCTCAGGGGAACATGAAATACTGAGAACTGAGCCTGGGCCTACTGCATATGAGGCCTGTTGGAGCTCTCTCCAGTCTAAATGGTTATGCTTCATATAAAGCTCTTGAATTGCAGGAGCTATGTCCGCCATATATCTATATTTATCTGTATCTATATAGATATCTTTGTATGAATGACACAAATTATTGGAGGTGTGTACACATAACCATTAGTTCCATGTAAATTTTTCAAAACCTGGGCTGAAGAGATAGTACGCTGAGTAGGGTGCTTGCCTCCCAAGCACACCAGTAGTGATAGCTGAGCACAAAGCCAGCAGTAACCCCTGAGCTCTATCAAGTATTTTCCCCAAACAAAAAGAAGCAAATACAAAATAAAAAGTGCCCCCCTCCCTACCAAAAGCACACTGCCTAGGAAGCTATCTAGTAAATATATTAAGTAAAACCATGTTTAGTAAGAAGACAAATTCATTCCTAAGAGTGACTATACACACACTGACCTTCATGTATTTTTTAGTATTAGTACTAAAGCAGTATTACCTTGGCACAGATGTGTTGCAATAAGATACGCAGAATTGGAAATATGCTTTCCTTTAGTTCATCCACAAGACAGCTATTTAAAAAAAGAGAAGAAAAAAACACTGTAAAAATCAGCTATAAGACCAAACATGAGGCTGGAGCAATGGCACAGCGGGTAGGGCATTTGCCTTGCACACAGCCGACCTGGGTTCGATTCCCAGTATCCCATATGATCCCCTGAGCACCGCCAGGAGTAATTCCTAAGTGCAGAGCCAGGAGTAACTCCTGTGCATTGCCAGGTGTGACACAAAAAGCAAAAAAAAAAAGATCAAACATGACTGTCACCCAATGCCTCTTTTGCAAACCACAACACCCAATAAGAGAGAGAGAACAAAAGGGTGGGGGGGGGGGGATGGGGGGTACTGGGATCCGTGGTGGTGGGAAATGGGCACTGGTGGAGGGATGGGTATTTGATCATTGTATAATTGAAACCCAAGCACAAAAATTTGTAAGTCTACAATTGTACCTCATGATGTCTCACTAATAAAAATTAAAAAAAAAATTAGCTATCATCACAACAAAATAGTTAATTTCCTTCCTGCTTTCAAAAATCGCTTTTCTCATGTTTCGGAATACTGAAACATTAAAAACAATTTATTCTATATTGCAAGCAGCATTTCAGAGCTTAAAGACAAAGTTTTATAGCAGAAAATTGTTTATTACTTCCCATGCTTGACTTAAAAAAAAAAATCACTGCTGAAAAGACAGCTAGCTACAGCAGCAAGCAGAGAATGTGCTATATTCGTGTGGCTCTTTGACAACTTGCTAAATTTCATATTAAACATATAAAAAATATGATTTTGGGGTAAATAAAAAACTAACACATAGTACCACCTCCTGGGAGCTAAGTGCCTCAATGTTTTGTACATAAGAAATTGTTACAATACACAGATTTTTTTTTTTATTTTGATGGTGGAGGGCACACCAGGTGACGCTCAGGGGTTACAACTGGCTCTGCACTCACCAGTATTACTCCTGGTGGGGTTGGGGGACCATAGAGATGCTGAGTATTGAACCGAGGTCAGCTTCATGCAAGGCAAGCTACGTACCTGTTGAACTATCTCTCCAGCCCCAAAATATTCAGATTTGACTCAATTAAAGTTACATTTATTCATTTATTTATGAGAAATACAAATTTAAAAAATACTACTTCAACTACCTATATCATAAACTCTCACAGAAAAAAACCCCAAGTATTTCACTTATAATATTTTAGCTAAAATTTAAAAACAAAATGAGAGAAACCAGAGATATTACAGTGTGTAAGGTGCCTGCCTTGTGCCAAAGATCCAAGTTCAATTCTTGGTTTTGTTTTGTTTTGGTTTTTGAGCCACATCCAGTGGTGCTCAGGGCTTACTCCTGGCTCTGTTCTCAGGAATCACTCCTGGTGGGAACAGGGGACTATACGGGGTGCCGAACATGAACTCAGGTCACCTGTGTGCAAGGCAAATGCATTACCAGTTGTACTTCTCTCTATCCTTGCCAGGTTCAATCCTTGGCACTGCCTATGATCCCCTCCAGGAATGATCCTTGAGCTCAGAACCAGGAGTATACTGAGCAGCACCAGGTATGATCTCCAAACAAAAACAAATGAAATTAGTGAGCAATATCTGTTTAATAGCTCACTGACCGCCTCTGCCTGGTTCCACCATCCACACCCATGTCGCCAAAAATGTTCTGTGCCATGGACACCCATGGAAGTGTGGCCACAGTCCTATATACACCTGCCCATTTTCTTCTACCACCTCAACACCCTGTGCCAAATACTCCACCAGGGAGGAAAAGAAAATCCAGTGAGAGAACAATATCTTTGCTTATTGAGACACTGAATGCTTCAGATAAAGCTGACTCACGAGAAAGGCTTTGTCCTTCATTTATTGCTAAAGATTGGAAAAAAAATCAATTCAATTCCAACCTCATAGGAACTATTACATTTAGGAGAAATTAATTAAAAATGTGAAAAGAAACCATAAAAAAGTGGCAAAGAATAAAAGGAAGGTGACTCAGAGAACAGCTAAGCAAAAAAAGTGGTGGACTTTGGGTAGCAAATACTGAGCAGACAATGAGCAAACAACCAAGGTCACTGTCATTGCACAGAGCTAACCTTCAGGCAGGTGGAAATTAGCTGGAAGTAGTGCTGGCAGCCAAATAACAGACTCTTTGTCCTTTCAACAATACCACAGGCAGAGACAACAGGAGTGACCCTAAATAAGGACCCAGGTGAGCTATGAAGTGTTTGACATGTCCCTTTGTCACATGTGATCAGGAATGTCTTAGTTTCCAAAGGTGCCAGAATTTTGGTGAGGCTAGAAGAGATCACGACAGGAAACAGAGGCAGTATGCACCTCACCTGATGAACTGGACAGCCAGGTTTTTCCTGCTGATGACTGCCGAGGTGATAGAAAGTGGGGCATGGTGGGGTCCCCTGCCGCCTTCTAACATTAATAGAACATTAAGCATTTTATGAAAAATACTACTGATAACCTAGAAGAAAACAGAAAAGCAAGTTAAGACATGATTCCGAACCATGGACCACAGACAGCATTTTGTGGTATCCGAAGATAAATCAGGTTGACAGTTGAACTCTTAGGATGGGTTACCAGACATTCAATCAATGCATAGTGTAAACAGTGTGAAAACACAGACAAACAATAGTAAGAATATCAAGTTCCTCTCACTGCATTCGTAAGCTGGAGTCAATAATCAGGGAAAATAAACTACCACTCATCCATGGCAAAGAATGCTGGTGGGAATCCCTTACAGAATGCGGAAAGGAAGAACTGTGACTGCTACTTATACTTAACTTGATGTTTACAAAGAACCTTGAGTTGCTGCATATACTTGACCCAATCAATCATAACTATTGAACCTACTCATTCAAGAAATAAGACATTTACTGAAGACCAAAGAGGTGGTAAGTACTGCAGAAGTACATGGATCATAAGATTTTACTATTCTGATAATAAGCTCGCTAAAACTCCATAGCACTGCACTGTAGCACTGTCATCCCGTTGTTCATCGATTTGCTTGAGCAGGCCCTACTGGGGCCTGTGAGACTTGTTACTGTTTTTGGCATAACGAATTCATCACGGGTAGCTTGCAGGCTTTGCCGTGCGGGCGAGATACTCTCAGTAGCTTACCAGACTCTCCGAGAGGGGCAGAGGAATCGAACCTGGGCTGACTGGGTTGGCTGCGTGCAAGGCAAACGCCTTACCTGCTGTGCTATCGCTATAGCCCAAAACTCCATAAGACAAGTATTATATGTGATGTCTGTATTACATATAAAAAAAGATACAAAATGGAAATATTTTTACTTTATACTTAAAACAGGCAGGCACTGAGAATGCTTTTCCCGGCTTCTGCTGCATCTAACAGCACTGCTGCTCTTCTCTCTTTGGGGTCTTCTTTTATCGCTTCTCTGCACTGCTTTGCGAGCTTAGACATTCGCTTGCGGTTGCCCGAGGCATGCACCAAGCCACGTTGGCAAATAAGCTCAAGAGTTTTCGAAGACAGGCTTTTTTTGTGGCTATCTCTCTCTTGGAGTTCCTCACACAATCATGGAGGTGCTAAACCAGTCGATCGTATTCCTCATCAATATTGTCAATGACGGTATCTTCCCATGTTGCAGCAATAGTGCCAAAGAGCGCCCAGTTGGTGGTCGTTCTGGGAGATCTCTTCTTAAATTTTCAGTCCTTTCTCCCTGCTCCATGAAGTAGACTTGCACGAAGAAGACTGTGGTCCGATCCCATTTGGAATTTTGGGACAACAGTGACATCGGTCAGGCAAAGCCATCAACAGAATATGATGTGGTCATTTTCGTTGTGGAACCATCCACCGGGAGACTCCCATGTCCAACGTTTAGATCTGGCCTTCTGGAACTGTGAGTTACCATGGAATGGTCTTGGTCAACATGATGAACTCAAACAGTCTCTCACCCTATTCGTTCCATTCTAGGCCATGGGTCCCGATGTGGAGTTCTTCAGCTGATCTTCTCGGTCCTATCTTGACATTAAAATCACCGACAATGATCTTGTAGAAGGTGTTGTCTTCATAATAGAACTTCTCCAGCTCCATGTAGAACTTCTCAATTTCTCCTTCGTCATAATTGGATGTTGGTGCGTAGACAATGAAGATAGAAACTGCTGGCAGTGAGCCACATCTATTCAAGTATAACCATCTGTTTCGGGTTGTTAGGCATTCGAATGAATCAATGCTCATGGCCAAGTTTGTGTTGACAAGGACACCGATACCACCGATGCCTCTTTTGTCGCATGTTTTGAGGAACAGTTCTTCTCCAGTGTTGAAAACGGCGTGATGTGATTGATGCCTTCTTGTCTCGTATGTCTCGTCTCCTCTCATCTATGATGTTGTACTTGATCTTTCGTGCTTGTACCATCAGGTCCTCAGTGTACGTGCACTGAAAGTACAGACACTCATTTTTGTCTTTCTTCGTTTTGGCAGCCTAGTTTGGCCTTGAGATTTTATTGACCTCTCATTCCACATCCTTTTCAACACTGCCATATTGGTGGCTCCTTCGGGGTCAGGGGAATGAGACCCATTGTATTTACTGGTTTTGGAATATCGAATACGCCTTGGATAGCTTGCCAGACTCTGCCGTGCATTCGCTCAACGCCCGCCTGTCCTTCGCCAACTACAAGACCAAGATGACTGCCCTCCGACGTCCTGATGGATCTATCACATCTTCCAGAAGGGCAATGGAGAAGATTATCCATGACTTCTACTCAGATCTCTTTGATAGCCACGTCCACCTGCCCACATACCAAATTCCTCAGGATGGATATGTCGTTCCCAACATTCTCCCTTCCGAAAACTGACACGCCAATTCGTCGGTAAAGAAATGAACAGCACCTGGCCCAGACAAGGTCAGACCTGAATACCTGAAGAACCTGCCATCAGTACTCATCAATACACTGGCTCGACTCTTCACAAGCTACCTGTCTGAATGCAAGGTTCCATCCCAGTGGAAAACAAGTAGGACTGTACTACTATACAAGAAGGGAGACATCCAGGATATTGGCAACTATCGCCCGATCTGCCTGTTGTCTGTCATCTACAAGCTGTTCACTCGAGTGATCCTGAATAGGATTGGCAGAACACTGGATATAGGACAACCATGCGAGCAAGCCTGGTTCCGCAAAGAATTCAGCACGATCGACCATATCCACCCGATAACCAAGCTCATTGAGGTTTCTCGGGAGTAGTACAAGATGCCGCTTTGTCTAATGTTCATTGATTTAAAGAAGGCCTTGGATTCTGTTGAGACGGAAGTGGTCGTTGAAGCCCTAGTCAATCAGGGCATTCAAACTCAATACATCAGGATCCTCCATGAGCTGTATTATGGATTCACTACCAGGATCTCACCATTCTACAAAGAAGCAATCATTGATGTCAAGAGAAGGGTTCGGCAGGGTGATACTTTCACCAAAACTCTTCAATGACACCCTTGAGAATGTCATGGGACAACTGGAATGGGAAGGAATGGAAGTGAGGATAGACGGACGGCAACTACACCAACTCCGCTTCGCTGATGACATTGTTCTAATAACATCAAACATTAGTCAAGCAGCACAAATGCTGGCCGACTTCGACTGAGACTGTGGAAAGGTCGGACTGCAGCTGACTCTCACAAAGACAATGTTTATGAGAAACAATCTTGTTCCTGACATTCCATTCACTCTCAACGGAACGAACATCTCAGAATGCAACAGTTACGTGTACCTAGGTCGAGAACTCAACGTGATGAATGACCTGGCACCTAAGTTGCGCAGGAGGAAGAGAGCGGCTTGGAATGCGTTCAAGAGCGTCGAAGAAATAGCTAAGAGGATGAAGAACCTCTGACTCCAGGCACATCTGTTCAATTCCACTGTTCCTCCTGTATTAACATATGCCTCAGAGACCTGGGCCCTACGAAAACAGGATGAGAACGCTATTTGGGTCTCCCAAAGAGGAATCGAGAGAGCTATGCTTGGAATATCACGCTTCACTCAAATGAGAGAAAGAAACCAGAGTTCTGACCTCCGTTGACGGTCAAGAATCAAGGATGCTGTCTCATTTGCCAAGGCGTCGAAAATCAGATGGGCTGGACATGTAATGAGATTTGGAGATGACCGCTGGACTAGAACCATTACCAACTGGATTCCACGGGACGTTAAAAGACCACGTGGCCACCCACCTATGAGATGGTCAGACTTCTTCATCAAGACCCTGACCGTTCGGTTTGAGGCTCTTCGTGTTTGTAGAATGAGTAGATGCCACTGGGCTACACTAGCACGCGACAAGGACAAATGGAGACATTATTGGCGTCCGTTTGAGCAAATCGATGAATAACGGGCTGTCAAGTGATCAAGCGACTTAATACAGAGGACTCCAAAGATGAGTTATCCAAAGGAAGGTTATTAAATGACTCACTAGGACCAACACTGTCTAACATCGTCAATACTTTCATAATTAAAAAACCTCATCAATACTTTCACAATTAAAAAACACTAGGGCCAGAGAGAGTACAGCAGGGCAGGTGCTGCCCTTGCACGTAACTGACCCATTTGATGCCCCATATCTCATATGGTCCTCTGAGCCCCACCAGGTGTGATCCCTGAGCTCAGATCCAGGAGAAAGCCTGATAAACAGCTCAGTGTGACCCAAACATCCTCTGTGCTAAGGGATCACTCCTGAAGGAGCTTGTGGGGACCATATGGGGAACTGGAGATCAAACCCGTGTCTGTGGGGACCAAATAGGGAGCTGGATATCAAACCGGGATCTGTGGTGTGCGAGGCAAGTATCTTTATGTACTATATTATCTCTCCAGTCCCACTAATGCTAAGGTTAGAGCAACAATACTGTTAGGATAATGTAAGGAAAAAAAAAAATATATATATAAATGCTAACCATGAAATAATGAGTAAACTTTCTGTAGAATTAGGCCAATAGGATAATTAATACACATGATTTGCGGAATCAAACTTGAAAACTGTGTGTGTGTCTATTCATAATTTGGTATCCAATTACAGAGAAGTCCTGCTCAGAAACTTATCTGTTCTTTCTACCTGATTCATACTAAAACCATTTATGTATGAAATCTAACAATAATTGGTGGGAAATACCAAGTATCTGGATATATATATACACTAGGTAATAAGAAGTAGGCAATAAACAGAAATGACAAAACGTTGAAAGAATGACCTAGGAATTTAAAATTGCATTACATTAAATGGTTCTTATAGTTTACCATTATATAACTTCCAAGCTTTCAATTGTAACTACATTAGATTCTCATAGCCTTTACCTTATTTCCTTCTCCATGAATTGGAGAGCACAGCAAATATAATCCAATGTAGGCCAGTTCTGGAATGTACTTTGCTCTGTTAAGAATTCTAAAGAAGAAAAGGAAAAGATTTGTTACAGGATATGCTTTTACTTAAAATATTCTCTAGCCTTATAAACCACACTTAAATTCCACCTGCGTGTCATTAGGATAAACAGGCATTTTTACGTCTGCAAGAGCAAACATGTTCCTATTACATTTAAATTTTAGGACTGGAATATTTAATAGCTCACCCGTCTTCTGTAACATGAAATTCATGAAGAACTGGTTCAAAACTAGTTAATGACACAAAGACCTAGAAAACAGATGCCAAGGAAAGGTCTGGTTTTTTTCTGTCCATGAAGTATCAGCCACAGCCCACGAACTTGGAAGCCAAGCTGCGATTGTGGAATATCCACTTACCTCTATACAAGTCTGGACACACTGTGGCTTTTCTTTCAGGGAAAACTTAGGCAGAAGTCTTAAAAAATTCTTCAAAACGTGAAAGATGGTATTTCGAATTTGAGAAAGATCTTGGGCAGAGAAATAAATATTTTCTTCGTCTTCTGATTCTTCCATGATTTCATCCATCTAAATTATGAAGAAATGTACGGGTGATGGTGTACTAATGCCTAACACTTTGTCTGATAGTTTCATGGTTCGCAAATCATATCCAGTTAGACTTTAGGAGGTCGACAAGTTGCAGATGAAGTGACAAGACCCTGTGAGAAAGTCCCTTGCTGCTCGGTGCCCAAGGCCACAATGGTAAACCTATAGACTAGAAGACTCAGTGGCCCTTCCTAGTCATCTATTCTTGTGTTGATAAGAACTGTGTGCTCTTAGACATGTTCACATCAGCCAACTCCCACCATCCTACAGTCATACAGGAGTTCAGAATTCATGTAATTCTATTATACTTTTTAGACATGAGCGCTCAGATTACATCAACCGGTAAGCTGTCACTGTCACTGTCCTCCCGTTGTTCATCGATTTGCTCGAGCAGGCCCAGTAACGTCTCCACTGTGACAATTGTTACTGTGTTTGGTATATCAAATATGTCACGGGTAGCTTGCCAGGCTTGGCCGTGTAGGCGAAATACTCTCGGTAGCTTGCCGGGCTCTCCGAGAGGGGCAGAGGAATTGAAGTTGGGTCGGCCGTGTTGGCCGCCTGCAAGGCAAACGCCCTACCTGCTGTGCTATTGCTCCAGCCCAGTAAGCAAATGTGTCCAATACACAGATTGTCATCAAGAATATCTAGGTACAGGTTGGTGAGAGACCAAGAGAAGGTGAAAAGATGCCAGGAAAGAGACATAATTTTAGTAGTATATGGAACACAAGAGAATCTCAAAATCACACTGGACAACTCAGGATACATAGGATATTGATTACAATCATGATTTCTGAAATTATATCTTGTTTTGGTTTGATTTTTTTAAGACACTCCCTCAATGCTGAGGATTACTCCTGGCGTGCTTGGGAGACCAAATGGGATGCTGGGGATCAAACCTGGGTGCAAGGCAGCACCCCATCTACTGTACTGTCTCTCCAGCCCCTGAAATCATATCTATTTTATTTTTTCATTTTTATTTATTTATTTTGCTTTTTGGGTCACACTCAGCGACGCACAGGGGTCACTCCTGGCTCTACACTCAGGAATTACCCCTGGCGGTGCTCAGGGGACCATATGGGATGCTGGGAATGGAACCTGGGTCAGCCGTGGGCAAGGCAAATGCCCTACCCGCTGTGCTATTGCTCCAGCCCCCAATCATATCTTAATATAGTTAATTCTTAAGGTAAAATCATGATAACAAAAAAAAGCTTTATAAACTTAATTCTTAAGTTAAAAATCACGAGGGCTGAAGCGATAGCACAGCGGGTAGGGCGTTCGCCTTACAAGCGGCCAACATGGCCGACCCGAGTTTGATTCCTCCTCCCCTCTCGGAGAGCCCGGCAAGCTACCGAGAGTATTCGATATGCCAGACACAGTAACAACAAAGTCTCCAATGGAGACGTTACTGGGCCCGCTCGAGCAAATCGACGATCAACGGGAGGGCCTTTACTTTTACTTTACTTTAAAAATCACGAGAGCAAACATATTCTTTATAATTCCACTTATTTCTTACCTCAATATCTTCTTTCCTGGATAGTTTTCCCCTTTTTCTCTGCCTTCCCGTATCCCTAGCCTGAGAGTTTTTAGGCTGTTCACTCTTTCTTTTCCGATTCAAGTGTGATTCTTCAGGCCAGCTCTTCTTCAAAGTCTGAATACATTTGTCAAACATCACTGGGTGGAATACCTGGTAGGCCACACTTCCTGTTTGTGAAGAATGAAGAGAATTAGATTCATTGTTTTGAACAATATAACAGAAGATGATTAGGGCTGGAATAGTATAGATTGGAGGGCGTTTGCCTTGCATGTATCCACCCCTGGGTTCAATCCCCAGTATCCCATATGGTTCCCCTTGAACACCGCCAGGAGTAACTCCTGAGTGCAGAGCCAGGAGAAACCTCTAGACATTGCCAGCTGTGACCCAAAAACAAAACCAAAAAGCTATCATAGAAGATGACAATTAAAAAAGTAAAAAAGAAGCTTCTACTTAAGTTGAAAAAAAGATGTACTTTTGGCAAAAAGTATCACTCAACTCCAGTCTGAGATGAACTGTGCTATCAGAAATAAAGATTCCTTTATGTGATTATGAGGGAGTACTTAATTTTGTACTTGCCTTTCTACAGTTCAAAAACCATAGGGCCCAGAGCAATAGTACAATGTAAAGGGCAATTGCCTTGCATGAGGCTAAGCTGGGTTGGATCCCCATCATCCCACATGGTCTCCTGAGCACCCCAGGAGGAATTCCTGATTGCAGAGCTAAAGTAACCCCAAAATATTGCTGGATAGATAACCTTCAAACCAAAGTGGGGGGTGGGGAACTATAGAAATGGATGTATAAAATGATAAAGTAACCATTTTAGGACACAGTGCAACAGGAAGCAGAAATAAGCAATCTCTGGTAGGAGGAAAACAAAGGAGGTAAAGTCCTAGAATTGCCCAGCTTCAGGGTGTGAGGCAATTTCTAGAAAAAAGCATAAAAACACTGTTGAGTAGGTATCAGAGTAATAGAGGCAAAAGCTGGTATTCATGAAGCAAAGCAGTTTCTCCACCAGGGGACATATAGCTTCCTGAAGGCACCAAGAATCCAAGGGGGCTACACATTTAAAAAAAAAAAAGTAAATGGGGGAGGGCAGTTGGGCATGCCATGAGACTTGAAGGTCCAACTGATAAGACCCCAGGGGTGCCAGAGGAAGGAAACAGGTTCAAAGGGAGGCCATAATGAGAAAAAGATTTAGAAACACCGAAGAATAGTAGTTGACAACATTGCCAGCTGTGACCCCAAAACAAGAGACACTCAGAACTCTGTGGAGGGCTTAACAAACACGCACAAATAGAGAGGCATGAGGAGACCAGAGACAGCACAGGGATTAAAGTGCTTATGCATACGGTGACTCAGGTTTGATCCATGGCACAGTATATAGTCTCCTTACCATGATTTGGGATCACTTCTGGGCACAGACCCTGCAGCACTGCCAGATGGAACTCCCAGTACTGCCCAGCCTCTCCAGAAAAAAAATAAATATATAAAACAGAAGCAGGGAAATCAAAAGAAAAAAGCATATGGCATAAAATTCCATGAAAGCAAGCAAAGCATCTCATACAGCAAGGATGTAAAGGATGTATAAAGATAAATGATTTCCAGAACTCAGACAGAACTGAGACATGTCTGAGTGCTGGCCAGGGGTCTCTCTTGCATTACCTGAACACTAGGTCAAGATCTTGAAAACAAATACACCAAATGGGAGGGCTGACCCAGATCTAGAGTAAAGGCTACCTTTACATCTACCTTAACAGGCTTTAAAGGAGGAACTAAGTGAAGTCATCCACCAACAGCTGTCTGTCAGAACATTCTTCAAAACTCTTTGAAGGAAAATAGCATATCAAGACACTTAGTGACGTGACACCAGAAAGAAAAGCACTGGGCAGGCTTAGAAGGAAAACCAGCCAATAGAAAAAGTCCAAGAAACCACTAAGAAACTGGAACTACAGACAGAAACCTTAAAGCAGGTATCATTAGCTCCAGAGTTAAAACATGCAGACAAGGAGAGTAAAGAAAATTAAATTTAAAGAATCAAATGGAACGTCTTTATGTTCATTAAAATAATAATAATAATGATACAGCAAACACCAAGCTGAGCTTGGAGATCCTGGGTCTACTAACACCAATGACCTGAAAGTTTTGGGGCTCTGGTTTGGCAGTGCTTGGGGCCACACCCATTTGTATTCGGGTGCTTAGGGTCCCATACAGTATGCAGGATCTTGTACATGCTAGGCCAAAGAACTACAACTTGAGCTATCTCCCCAACCCTCAAATGGAACTTGACCTGAGAAAGAAAAATTCACCGAGCAACTTGTAAAGTAAAGTAAAGTAAAGGCCCTCCCGTTGATCGTCGATTTGCTCGAGCGGGCCCAGTAACGTCTCCATTGGAGACTTTGTTGTTACTGTGTCTGGCATATCGAATACTCTCGGTAGCTTGCCGGGCTCTCCGAGAGGGGCGGAGGAATCGAACTCGGGTCGGCCATGTTGGCCGCATGCAAGGAAGACGCCCTACCCGCTGTGCTATCGCTCCAGCCGAGCAACTTGAGAGTAGATTAAACACTGAAAAGATAAATGAATTTGAATAGTAGATGCACAAAAAAACCAAACCTATTAAATACAAAGGAACTTCCAACAAAACACAGGAAATACAATCAAACTCCTAAAACAAATTAACAAAATCTTCAAAGTAACCCAAAACAAGACGGGACACAAAAAACAGAAAGTCTGAATTATGAAACTTATCACTAGAAATAATATAAATCAGGAAACAATGTGACAACACCTTAAGGGCACTGAAAATATTTTTTAACATTGTAAATTCATCAAAAACATACGTGGGGACAGAAAGATAGTACAAGTAGGGCCTTGCATGTGGCCGACCCAGATTCAATTCCAGGCATCCATATACTCCCCTGAGCACTGCCTGGAGTAATTCCTGAGCACTGCCAGGCGTGGCGCAAAAGTAAAAACACACCCAAAAGACAAAAACTTACACTCCCGAAGATAGAATAAGAACTTCTATCAAATTCCAAGAGTTGATGACCAGCAGACTTCCAATTCAGTGGGGAGACGTATAATCATAAAGACACTGACACCTAAATAGACTCTCGATATAATTTAAACATAGAGAAATGAAAGAAGAAACAGAAAAACTGAAAATCATGCTTGGAGATCTCAATTTTCATCCCCTTCCTTCCCCCCTCCTTCCCACCCTCTAAGCAACTGATAAACATACTCCAGGGCAGCAATAAAAGACTCAAGAACTTCAGCTACCAATCTGACCTAATACAAAATGAGACTGACCAAAGACAAAACAACCATTTTTATTCAAGTACAAACAGAAGATTCACCAAGTCAGACTCTATAAAGGACAACAAATGTCAAAACCCAGAAATCTTGGTTGCAGAAGCAGTACAGGGCTTTAGGGGCTTGCCTTGCACAAAGCCAGTTTGACCCCCAACACCATGGACTGGCATCCTAAGCACCAGTTAAGAGTGAACCCCAATAGCCTGGTGCGGAGTCATATTACAATATAAGAAAATAAAACATTGGAAGAAAAACAGAAAAACTTTTCTCATCATTATACATTAACCCTCAGCACAACTAAAACCACTAAACTTAGAAGCTTCTGCACCTCAAAGGAAACAATGACCAGGACATAAAGACTGCTCACAGAATGGGAGAAATTATTTACCCAACACTTACCTGATAGGGGCTAATACCCAAGATATATAAGGCACTAGCAGAACTTTACAAGAAAAAATATCCAACCTCATCAAAAAATGGGGAGAAGAGAACAGAAACTTCCTCAAAGAAATACAAATGGACAGGGGCTAGAGCTATGGTACAGCAGGTAGGGCATTTGCCTTGCATGGAACCCGGGTTTGATCCCCAGCATCCCATGTGGTCCCACGGACACCATCAGGAGTAATTCCTGAGTGCATCACCGGTGTGACCCAAAAAGCAAGCACTGTAGCACGGTAGCACTGTCCTCCCGTTGTTCATCGATTTGCTCGAGTGGGCCCAGTAACATCTCCAGTGTGAGACTTGTTGTTACTGTTTTTGGCATATGAATACAACACAGGTAGCCTGCCAGGCACTTTGCATGTATTTTGCATATTTATTATACGCTTTAGAGTAGTATAAAAACTTAAACCGTTATTACCATCACTCCCAAACTAAAAAGAATTTCTTATTACATAATCTGGGCAACATCACTTGTCTCATCTATAACCATGAATTTAACCCTTATTTTTCAGTCTTAGATGAGAATCAAGACAGGAATATATGTGAGAAAACTTGCTGTCATCAAAATTTAAAACAAACAAAAAACCAAATGGACAAAAGGCACATGAAAAAAAATCTGCTCTTTCTATGTCTGTCCCTCTCTTTCTGACTCATTTCGCTTAGCGTGATACTTTCCATGTAGTACCACTTGTATATAAATTTCATTACTTCATTTGGGGAACAGAAAGTAACAAAATAGGAAACTAATATCCAAGAATAGCCGAGATAAGTACCAGGAGGACTACTCCATGGCTTTGAGGCCAGCCGCACATGCTAGGGGAAAAGGCAGCTCAGATAGAGAAGGGAGCACCAAATAAAGGGTGTTGGGAGGTTCCTCCCAGGATGGGAGATGCGTGATGAGAGTAGACTATAGACCGAACATGATTGCCACTCAATGTCTCTTTTGCAAACCACAGCACTCAAAAGGAGAGATAACAAAACGGAATGCCCTGCTACACAGGTAGGGTGGGAAGGGGGGGATCAGGGGTGGGAGGGATACTGGGATCAGTGGTGGTGGAGAATAGGCATTGGTGGAGGGATGGGTATTCGATTATTGTATAACTGAAACCCAAGCACAAAAATTTGTAAGTCTACAACTGTACCTCATGGTGTTTCACTAATAAAAATTAAAAAAAAATAAAAGAAAGAAAAAAAAATCTCCTCTACATTACTAATCATTAGGGAGATGCAAATCAAAACAATGAGATATCATCTTATACCAGAGACTGGCACACATCAAAAAGAACAAGAACAATCAGTGCTGGTGTGGATGCAGGGAGAAAGGGAGTCTCACCCCCTGCTGGTGGGAATATCCCTTGGTCTAGCCTTTATGGAAAATGATATGGGCATTCTTCAAAAAACTAGAAATTGAGCTTCC